CTGCTGTTGATTTCTCCTTAGTTTTAGTATGAACAGGTTTAGACCTTTAAAAATTGAGTGTTAGAAGTGTAGATTGCCAGAGGCAATAGAACTATGAGAAGTTACAGGACTTGGACAGAAGTAGAAATGACGATGTATTGTAAGGTTGTCTAAAGGCCTTAGAAGTCTTAAAAAGCCATAAAGGCAGGATATTAATTACATCTGTCCTTCAAAGTGAAAAGATTGTAGAGAATTTGAATTGAAAAAGAAGAGCTGTTAAAACTTGCTAAGCATCAGTACAGACTGATTTATGATGAAAATTACTCTTAGTTACAGTGTTCCTGTATATTTTTTTAATGCTGGATATATTTGTTTTCTCTTAAATTAGCTCTCACAGGGTCAAAATTATTTCTGTGGACATTCCAATAGGTTATGGAGGTTCCAGGATGCTTGGGGTGATAATTTGCAATTGGCCAGACTATGTTGTATCTGTTGGGGTTTTTTTGTTTGTTTTGTTTTTTTTTTTCTTCAGTGAAGGCAGTTCTACTAACTGGGAATAATAACCCACAATGTGCATGTAGCCCTCTGTGAGCAGTCATGGCAGTACAACACGGAAAGGGAGCTGCACAGTATGTTTTATTATAAAACCAATATGTTTTATTTGTCTGAACAAACCTATCTTAATGAATTTATTGCATTGTTTGCCCGTTCAGACACAGGATGAGAACTATGAATGTAATGCAACCTAGATCCTGCTTGGTGCAAGTTAAACAGTGTTCTGCACCAAGGGCAGAACACAAGTCTACTGATTCCTTGGACTTTGTTCTCTACTCTTGGCTGCTTTGCCACAACTCTTTGTTTTGTGGGCTTTTGCTGAAACAGAAGGGTCAAAAGCTCGAGTATCTTTAAAAAAAGACCTTTACTATCAAGAACTTGGTGGTTTCAGAGCTGAGTTAACCTCAGAAATAAACTGTCATACTCCATGTCCATCTTGAACTACTGACTAAGATCTCCTGAATTTTTAGAATTGCATCACTTTCGTGTCTCTACACAGAATATTTGGAGAACACGGATCTTGAAATCTTTCCAATTGCTTTGTTGTTGTTAGAATTAATGGCATTTCTGCAACGCTGAGGAGTCTTAGTCACAGGCCAGAAACGTGTTCAAGAAGACAAAAGAGAAATGCTGAGGTGTTACTAGCTTGGCACACAGAACAGGAAAGGATACAGTAGAACTAAATTTCTTGCTTTTGAATTACGAAGAAGTTTCTGTATTGTTTGAAAACTGAATAGTAACAAATTATTGGGAGAACTGCTTAATGCTTCTCCTTTTCGTGGTAATGAGAGAGCTGTTCATCTGAGATTATTTCTGATCTCATGTGGTTTTGGAAATGTTTGCAAAAGAGGAAAAGAATTTCCTAAGTGATGTGCCTTTTGTTTTCCTTGAATGTAGAGATTTTTTCAGTCTGGGCTCAGAATGTTTGTAACCTGATGTTGCTCAAAGCAGTCATCTATTTAGGAAAGATGTGGTCATCAATTCAGGAATGACTAGGCAAACTTGAAAAGGCTAAAGAAAGTAACCCCAGGTGTATCCTGATACTCCTTATAAACTCTCTGTGATTATTCACTGTTATGCGGTGTCAGGGCAAGAATCAGTGATATTTTTTTAAAGATTGCAATGAGAAGGACACCTTGGTGTCAGTGACAGTACCTGCCACACATGCTGGCCTGTGTCTCTGCAAGCCAGGTTGTGATCAGAAGTTGGAGGTGTCTTCAGGTATTATTATTTTTTTGTTAAGAACTGAAATGCAGACCTTTGCATTTCAGTATTTCAGGGTGCTCTTCACATCTGTGAATGGTTTGATGTGTTAGCACTGACCAACCTTTGGTAGCTCAAGTGGCACAGTGTTTGTAGGGAGAAACATGGTTTTACTATTCCTTCCTCTTAGGAAAAAATGAAGCTACTTTAGGTACATGAGACTAATCTTCTATTTCCACTTCATACTCTATAAAGAGGTTGTTTAAGAATTTACCACTTTTTTTTTTTTTTTTTTTTTTTCTATGTGGTTAGAAGCAACCCTCTAAAACTCTTCAGTAAAGATAGAGAGAATGTAAAGCTAATTGTTGTTCCTGTGTATGTAGTGAGCTTTCCACCATCACAGTAGTAAGATGTGCTGCCAGGTATATTCAGTGATGATGCAGGTAGCTTAAAAAAGCTGCAAAAATACCCAGGCTGGTATGCACTAGAGCAGCTTTGTTGATGTTTATGAGTAAGATGGAAGTGGTGTCAGTCATTACTGAGTCAAATTTCACTGCTGCTGTTCAAACCCTTGAGATAGAAGGTCCCTAGTGTGATCACAGAGATTTAGCTGTGAAAATTTTTTGGAATAGGAATATGATCTTTCCTTAAATGCTTTTCTTTGATCTTGCATCTCACTTGCTTTACATGTTTGGAGCTAGTCTGTATTTTGGAAAACATGGTCTGCTTCTGCTTCTCCCTGCTCCAAGTCTCCTAATAATGGAGAGAAGAGTCAACTATGAATCACCAGCATTTGATCTTCTCTCAGGTGGCTTCTTATCAAGTACTGGTTTAGTTCAATTGTCCTTGACTCTTTGTGTTTTATTCTCTTCCTCTAAATTAAGTTACCCATGTATACCACCTCAACTCACTGATGCAGATGGTGTAGATTTGGCAGAGACTAGTTCAACTTTCATTCAGTGTTTTACAATACAGAAGGAGCTCTTGAATTAATATTAAAAGCATCACTGTAAAGGCTCAAATTAGCTATTTTTTTAAAAATTCCATTAATTACTGAGGTAAAATGAGTCAGTAGTGTTATGTATTTTTGTATTTTGTAGAATACAATGTTGAAGATCCATTTTATTAATGAAATCTAGTAGCAAATCATAAAACATATGTGCTGCAAACTTAGTGCAAGAAACCAGTCAATATCGTGCACACATTGAGATAAAATTTATGCAGAGATACAGTAACTTCCTTGCTCGAAAAAGTCGTCCTTCCACCACTAACCCTCCCACCCTTTTGCCCATGGAAAACACAATGATCCTTTACTTTTGGAAGTGCTTTACTTTTTCTTAATATTCAGAAATCTAATTTTGCCTAGATCTACTTATATATGTTATGCTGTTGGCATAAGAAGGATTTGATGCTTAAGAAAAAGGGGCGTTGCCTAGGATGTCCTGAGTAATTGCACTCCAGGTAGAGACAATGGAGATGCAGGGGAACAAGATCAGGTCTTGCCTTAAGTCAGAGGATACATTGTAATTATGATGTGTGAAGCACGTACAATCGTGGTCCCTGCGGCAGAGAATGGTGACTTTGTAAATAGTAAAACCACAATGAAAACTATTTGACTGTCCTTGCAAGACCTGACACCAAAAAAAAAAAAAAAAAAAAAAAAGCTTCTTCTGAAATCAAAGGGGAAATGGTCTAAGTCTGGAAATACTTAGACTTGTTTTCTTAAGTTAAAACATAGGTATATATGAGGGAAGAGATGTTGTATGCTGAAGGTTGTCTGAGCATGTGGTTGTTACCAGAGAAGTGACACTCAAAAGACCTACCAACTCAAGTCTTGAAGAACTCGGCAGAAACAGCCAGAGCCTCCATTATACAAGAACTTTAAAGGCCATTTGAAGAAATCAAATGTCAATTAGGAATTGTATAAACAGCTAGTAAAAGTGATGAATAATAATTTCAGAGTAGCTCATGATCCTGCCATGGAAATACCCCAGTTAACTTTAAGCTGTAGATAGTAATTACTCTTTTATCTCCTGCTGTTGCCAAGGTACACAATGCTGTTAGGAACATGTATTGAAGTCACTAACAGGGCAGCCTGTGGATCTTTTACAATAATTTTTATACCAGTTGCACCACAGGTTTTTCCTGTACAGAATGTCATAAAAACAGCAAGAGATTTAATCAGGTGTGCTAATGCCTTCAGAGTAACTTTCTGAGATTGTCCCTTGCTTGTGTGTAATTTTGGGGTACTCCTTCAGCTGTTGATGGCTTCAGTATTGTAGTTGCTTTGTGTAATCTAACAAGTAAGACTGGGTACAGGAGAAAAACAACGTATAATATTTAACACTAGTTGCTTGTGGAGAAACTGACTTAGATAATTAAATCATAGCTAAGAAACTTCTACAGTCTAGATGTCATAGAGAGATGACTATTCTTGCTGGTGGTAGCTGCCCCTTCTTGCATACACAACCAGTAGTGCTGATGCCCCAACAGAAGAGCTTGGGAGCATACCCTGGTTTATTTTGGGCAAAAACTGGCCAAGTGAGCTCACTGCACTGATTAAATTGTTTATGCCCACCTGTGTCATTTTGCACAGCTTTAAAAAGACATTTTTGCAAAAAATGTGCAAAAAGCATTGCTGCCTTCCAGATTTGTAGGAACCAACAATAAGCAGCAGTTTGGCTGGTGGGCTGGAGCCTGTTTTGCAGACAACACTTGCTGGGGAGAAGTACTTTCTCCTCTTTAGCCTGTCTGTTTCTCACATTTGCAGCAATCAGTGCCTCAGCTCTGCTGCATGTCTGCGGCCTCGTTTCACTCTCCCTTCTGGTTCAGGGCTTTGCAGTGTGTTCTGCTGCCACGTGCAGCAGTCGTTGTTGTTTCAGATGTGTAATTACAGGGATATTTGGCTTGTGCTTAGTTCACACTGACTGAAAGATAGCTGATGCTGCCACTAATTTCAGAGAGGTCTGTAGATGAAAGATGTGCTGGCAGCTGCCAGCACCTTCTACATCAGTAGGAAGGACCCGGTGATATATGAACTTCATGTGTCACAGACCAGCTCCCACATAGCTCGTTTGTAGTACCTTATAAGTGAACTGGAGATGCTCATAACTCTCATCCTATCCTCCATAATGACCAGTGGGAGGGTACGGGGAGGCACTGCCCTGCCCTGCGTTCCCAGCGTGACTGTCACTCGGGGCTGGGGAAGTAGCACCGGGTGCTGCTGCTGGATGTTCGTGCCTCAGTGCTGAGGGGGCACACAAATGACTATGTCAGAAAACACAAGGGATTTAGCAGAAAGGTAAGTAGCAGCCCAAGGCATTTTCCATTTGGCTTAGAGGCAGTTCTGATCCTGCTGTTGCAAGCAGGAGAGGAATCTGCAGCCCACTGAAGCATGACTAATCAGTTTGCTAAAAAGCTCAGCACACTCTGATTTAATGTATTTCTTCCCTATTGTTAACAGCAGCCAGTGTTTTGTGGCGTTTCTGTAAGGTGTGTATTGTGTTCAGATCTAAAGCCCTTTACTTGGGAACCACATCAAATGTTAGGTTTCCATGGAGCATAAACAACTTGTAATTTTGCTGCTGTATGCAACTTGTATGTTTGCTGCTGCTGAGGGTGGCACTGTGTTAAGATGTCATTCCAGAAAAGATGTTATTAATACATCTTATGTGTGCTTTGACATTCAACAGTATTTCTTTCTTTGTCATCTTTCTGTTTCAAATGAATATTTTGAAAAGGTTTATTTGTATTTACTAGGGTAGTTCTGCATGGTAAGAAACAACCCAGGTAAAATGTTACTAGTGTAAGTAATTTAAAACAGATGAGAATGTGTTTTACCTAGTGTTAAATATGCTGTTTGGTTCAGGGACACAGGTTTAGAAAAGCAGGTAAGAATTGTATTACATGTAAACAATAATTGTCAAAGTTTTAATTATTAAAGTAAGGAAGGCTCAGAATAGTTAGGCAGACATGATATTGCATATTGTGTGAGTCAGATGCCAAGACTTGGTTAATCAATTTTTGCAAAGCACTTGGAGAGTCTCTTGGGTGCAGAAGGATTTGAAGTGTATCTGAAGTGTGATGACAACAGCTGCTATGAATAGTGTCATAATGCTTATCTCAAATTTATAATCCTGTTTTTCATATACATAATTATACTTTTTTTCCCCCTTCTTTTGCAGTCATTATTTTTAAAAACAAAACTGAACCACTGCTGCAGTTGGTGGTTATTACTGATGCTATCTGCTTGTTCTGTACTCTCTTGGTTTTTTCCTTATGATGATACCAGGACTCTGCTCTCTATTTTTCCTTTCAGCAGACGATGTGTTGTGCCATTTTTTAAGGAAGTAGCATAGTTTCTAAGTCACAAGACAGATCACATCAGTTAGAGCTGTGCAGAATCAGGAACATGATGATTAATTTGGTTATATTTGAGGGGGAGCTTTTTTGTATGGACTTGTATACAACATATTAGTGCAGTGTGGCTCTTTGATACTAGGTGCAGATGTCCTAATGTTGGCCAGGTTACCTTAACTTTGTTAGTGCAAGGCTTTATTGTTTCTTTTGTGGATTTTTTTTGTGCAGCAGTTCTGGTGGGGATGAACTTGGGCCAAACTTATTCAGCTGGTCCGTATTATCCTGTTGCCAGTAAACCAAAGACCAGCTGAGAACCCTTGTGACAGGTCAGGCTGACATCTGAATGTTGCAAAGGAGGAAAGTACAGCCAGAGTGAGCCACTGAGATAATTTTCTGGCTTTGAGTCTCCGTCAACCTTACACACAGTCAGATGTGCATTGTCATCTGGTGCTTCTGTGTTCCTGGGACCTGAGCTGATCACATTGCCTTGCTCCCACCTGGTAACTTCCACATGCCCAGGCTCCTCTTTACAGCACATGCACTTTATCTTCCTTTCAGAAAGTACAAAACTTTTATTTTCTACATGTCACAGAGTGAGAGCATAGTTTAAAAAAAACAACCAAAAACATAATGGAAGACACTTTCATTTCTTGCAATCACTAGAAATGGAATAGCAGATCTTACACAGGAGTAAGACTAGAGCTGAAGATGGGGAGCTGAAATGTAGCACTGGTAGAAGGAGAACAGGTGTGCTGAGTTTATTATCTCTCCTCACAGGTCAGCTACATCAGACCTCAACACAGCATTGCATGAGTGTATGGCAGCTCTGGATTTATTTCTTAACAACAAATTCTCGGATGCTTTGGCTTCTTTACAAGCAAAGTAAGTTTATTATTTTTACTAGTTTTCCTCTGTTTATTTTTCTTTGCTTCACTATCTCTTGGAGCATTCACTAGACAGCTAGTTGTCTAGCCTGATAAGGCTGCATGGTTTTGGTTCAGAAGGGGGCAGTAAGTTAATGTGTTACGTTTTGGGGAAGATAGAAGAAGTGATTTACACTTGAGTGAATAAATGATTAGAAGTAACTATAAAAGGTACTGAATGGTGAATTGAAGAAGTAACCTCTTAGCTGTGGTACAGCTCCTGAAAGAGTAAAAAACATCTTCTGTCACTTTATTTTTCTCTTCCCATATTTTTCTGCATACTGTGAGAATTTATAATTTTGTTTCTAAATGAGCATGAGCATGAATTCCCAGGTTTGGGACACATGACTTGAGGTATGAATTTTTTTTAATTTTTTGTTTTTTTAATAACCACTTACAGAAACTTTCTCACAGCTAATTATGCGACCCAGCATTGTGATCATGCACTCTGTTTCCTAATTACACTGCAGCCCAGCATGTAATGAGTGCCCCAGCTGCAGGCAATGAGGTCATAAAATAGCTCCTAAAAATCATTGTGTTTTTACAACGTTTGTGATTTTTCATACCCTGTCCTGAAGTTACCTGAGCTGTTGGCTTGTTGAAATCTGTGGTAAATTCACGAATTTCCCCCCCCACAGTTTACTCCATTTATTTTTTGAGCCGACAAAAAATTACATCATCCTTTCTTTCAGGTCCCTGGAATATGAAACAGGTAAAATTCATAGGTAATTCAGTAGTATGTGTTTGATATTCATCAGGGGTAACTATAGTGAATGCTACATACCTGCTTCGCTGAGGTATGAGCCTCAGTCTGGTTAAGCTAGAATCTGCAGCTTGACCCTAGAAGTACAGTCTGTGAAATACATTAATTATAAATCTTAGGCTCAGATGTATTAATAATACTGGTTTTATTCACAGCAGTGTTGTTTTGTGTTGATATATCATCAGAAGATTAAAATGGTAAGAAGAATAACTCTATTTTCATTAAATTCTGACAGTAAACCCCCTGTACCCATCTGGAAACGCTTACTCAGTGCTTAGCATAAAATAGGGAGATATTTTATTGAAGGGGTTTTCCAAAACACTATAAAATCTAGTGCTGCTGGGGAGGGAGGTGTCTGTAAATCCATTTTTCTTCTATTGCATATGGTTTTCATTCAGTTTTTGTTGGACCCTGCAGAATATATTTCATGAGCTGATACTCCATTTTTGTACCTGAGTGTATTCCTCACTGCAGAACCGTTTTGAAAGTGATTTTTCATGTTAGCCTGTTGTTACAAGGAGGCCCTTATTCCTGTTGCCTTTGGCAGTGAGGGAAATAAAGACTGAAAATCTCTGGGAGTGTAATGCAGAAACAGGATGCTAAATTTCCCCACAGATGATATCCATTATGGACTCATGCCATCACTTTAGGGGATGACAAGAGCTGTGGAGTGGGCACATGTGTTAATACTGAGTATTTACTTTAGGAGTCATCAGTTCCTCACTGTTGCTTTTTAGCATGCTGAGATTTGAAATTGGTTTTCACAGTCCATAAACATACTGTATTTGTTTAAAGAAATAGTTTTCAGTTTTTACATGCTTGTAAAGAATTTCATATCGTAAGTTTTGCAGCTTTACCACTTACATTGTAGGAGATACTCTGCTCTGCGTTATATTATTGCAAATTCACTGAAGTACTCACATGTGGCTTCCACAATAATTTTATTTTCAACTGATTTGTACCATGTGTAGCTGAGAGCAGGTTTGGCAAGTTATGAGAGTTAAAATTGGAAGATCTTTCCTAGCAGCTTAAAAATAAATATCAGAGGATGGTGTCTAGACATGCATTGAGCTAAAACTCTTTTTTTTTCTCTGTTAGAAAAGCAAATCCATCATAAAGAAGAGATTTAGTTTCATAAAAAGCATCATGTGGCATTTTTGCTTCATGTTACATAACTTTTCGTGTTTCCCCAGCTACCTTTTAGTATTTAGAGTCAGTTTTTTGTCATTAATAACTGTTGTACAATAGTGGGCTCCAGTTATCTCATGTTTTCTGCAGTAAGTTTAATTAAATTAATTTTTTATATGGAGTATTCACACTAAGTCTAAGAATTCTTTAAGAAATTCCTTAAATTGAGTCACCAAACACAGCATTGATTTTCAATATGTTACCTGTTAACTCTGACAATGAGTAACAATGAAACTGTCAAGTCACTGGAGTGGGGAAAAATCTTATTTTCCTTCTCAGCCCTGAGTACATACAGTAAATCAATTGAAAGCTGACTAGACTTTTAGCCCTCATATCAAACAGATGACTGTAAATTAAAGTGTTGATTCTGGTGAGATATCCCCTTTCCTTCCCTAAGACAAATGTTTAATATTCAAATAATTTATCCTGAAGGAAAGCATGACATCATCACCTGATAGTTTACTGACATCAGATCACTTGGGAGAATGGTAAATAATAAATTTGTGATACAGAGTAATCTGCATACCTGGATGAGCTGCAGCACATCTGTGTTGCTGCTTGTGGTGTTATAAGAACAATATGAGAATGATTATTCATTCTGGGCAGTTGACTTCATTCTGAAAATAGTCTCCAGAAAGCACTTGGTGTTTTTTGGTGGAAAGTTAATTCTAGAGTGCCTGTTTTTGAAAGGTAAATTCAGTCCTTTGATGTGGGAGTACCTCAGGTTGGTGTGAAGAGACTCTGTTACTGCTCAGCTAGTAACTTGTGAAACTTACTGGAATAGTGTAGTTCTATGGTAACTGTTTACTAACACTGGAATTTTTAATATAAACCAAATTTAAAATATTATGTGTTATCTTGTATGTTCTGACCTTTAAAAGTTGAAAGAGGATACTGAGGAATGGAAGCCTTTTGTAATGTCTGTCCTCATGGTGTGATGAAATGTTCTTGCCCTTGCAGAAAAAAAGCAAACATAAGGTTGTTAAGAAGGGTGGAGGAGCTTTCTCTGGGAACGGATCTAACAAGGGAGGAGTGTAGTTATCAAACTATGAGAGCACTGAAAGATTAAGGAGAAGCTCATAGTGTGAAGCTCTAGACAGTGTTTGGATAAAGATGGTGTACAGCTCTGCAGAAAGCTCGTTACCTATTTATGGTAAAGAACATGAAGAAGGTCATGGAATGGAAGCCTTTTGTAATGTCTGTCCTCATGGTGTGATGAAATGTTCTTGCCCTTGCAGAAAAAAAGCAAACATAAGGTTGTTAAGAAGGGTGGAGGAGCTTTCTCTGGGAACGGATCTAACAAGGGAGGAGTGTAGTTATCAAACTATGAGAGCACTGAAAGATTAAGGAGAAGCTCATAGTGTGAAGCTCTAGACAGTGTTTGGATAAAGATGGTGTACAGCTCTGCAGAAAGCTCGTTACCTATTTATGGTAAAGAACATGAAGAAGGTCATTATTTTCACTTTTTTTTTTTTTTTTTTATGGCTGCTGCAGTCTGGAAGAACACAATTTTTACAGTCTTTGAAAATAAACACATTGCTGCCAAAACCTGACTTAATTGTTATTTTCACCTCCTACCAGAAAGAATTTGCTGCCTTCTGAGAATGGCTTAGATCAAAAGGGCTCAGGGTGCACTTGTTGACCAATGTTTTTTGGGCTTAGACCAGACTTAGACCATTCTGGCAGCTCGTGGGAACTAGAGAACCAGGCTGGTGGCCCATCAGAATGGTCCTTCCTAGTTGTAAGCTTTGTGTTAGTGGAGAGTTTTCACAGGAAATGAGTTTTTATTGGAAAATGAGAATTCATCAAAACTGAGAGTTTCTATGGAAGCCTTTGCAGTAAGTCCAGTGGGTTGTTTGGACATTGGGTGGAGCTTGTGAGTAAAAATGAGGAAAGCCTTCAGGCCCTGTGAGACCACATTCTCATGAAGAAGTTTTGATTTGGGCCTCAATATCTTGCTTTTGGGTACATCTGGATGAAAGGACTGCTGGCTGGTCTGTGGAGGGGCTTTCTCATTCTGTGCTGTTGGATTTGTTTCATTTGTTAGAGGCATCTTGATACTAAATCAGGGCATAGACTTGAACCTGGCAACACATGTCCTGCCTGCTGGTTTATTGGAAAAGGATCCCCAGAAAGATTTTGGGCACTGGTTTTCATGAAAAAGACTAGTCCTGCATTAATTCTGAAGTCAAAACAAGCCAATATTTTTGCTTTTCATACTTCAGCTGTAGGGGAGAGTTGTCACTGTCCTCACTTAGGTACTTGTTTTCAAGCAAGAATGAATGTGTGCTCTAGCAGCTCTCAAGAAGGAGCAGTGCTATAAGATGATAATGATTGCACCAGAGTTGAGAATAGGTATGTGGCATGACTCCATGAGTGCCTGAAGATATTACTTATAATCCTCTTATTCAGGCATGTGATACCAACTACTGGGATAAGTCATTAATTAGAATATTATTTGTATTTATGTCATAAAGGCTTGTTAACTCCAACAGTGTCCTGGGCAAAGTGCTGCTGAGGAATTGAAAGAAGAGTAAAAAAAACCAAAAGTTCTCAAGTTTCATTCCATATCCATCCCTTAAAAATTCAGGCCTTGCAACTTCTGGCAATATGCCAGGATGTAGCTGGCAACTTTAATTGTAGGGTTAGTATAAATAGCATAGATAACTGTTACATTTGGTTGCATTTCCACCCACCTTCCAGTTCCTGAAGAGTAAATTTGTGAATTGATAAATACCAGTTGGCTAATGATAAACATTACTTATCTCCTTTAAATATTAGTAGCAAACTAGATGAAACCATTGATTAGAGCAGGAGGGATTAGGTATCAGAAGTATATTACTGGAGAGGGAAGTCCCTCTTCACCCTGTGTATATGAAAAGTATAAATTTTCCTTTTAGTGCAGTGAATTTAATATATATTTGCTTTGATTTTGAAAGCAATTTTCTAAAATTTTGAAAGGGATTATTTTAATGCCTTTCCTGTAGTTTGAATTTGAACCTTTGAAAGGGTTTTATTTTAATAAATACAAGATGAAGTGTGTTTCTCTGTGCCCACTGAGACTGGTGAGTAATCAAATTAACAGGAACACTTCATCAGGCTGGCATTTTGTAGTATGTTAATTTTTTTTCTACTGTAAGTATCAGTCTACAGAAGGAATCATGATGCAGGAGGCCAAGACAGAGCTGTCCTGACTCCACTGAATTTTAAGCTAATTTCTCTATTATCTGTCTGTTCTTACTTACATTGGAGTTGAGATGGGGGTCAGCATAGTCTGGAGCTCACAGCACTTGTGGCAGGAGGTGATTTGCCAAAATGGCTTTTCTGCCAGATGGCATTGAGATGCAGGTAGAAGTTAATTGTTTTCCTTGCACTGATGCCAAAGATTTCTGGCTTTCTTTAAAAGAGGCACCATCTGAAATCCTACAGAAGAATATTTCAGTTGAACAAGTTGGAGTGGGAAGGTTGGTGAAAGGGGAGAGGAGGAAAAAGCTCCAATGTTAGGTGTAGATGGGAACTACTTCCAGTGGGAAGATCTACTGAAAGAAGATTTGACTTTGGCCATGGTTACAGGATTGTGTTACTTATCTCCTTGATATCTCCTGAGTAACTGTCCCAAAATAGAATAAAAGTATCTGATTTGTGTCACATTTCATAGTATTCATTAGAGACTCCATTAAAAACAAAAAACACAACAAAACAAAGTTTCCACGGTCCCTGAGTGGTTGGCCATGTGATGAATGCCTGAGCATCGTTATGTATGTTAAATATCTGTCCTTGGCTCAGAATTGGCCCATCACATCACAGTTACTGAAACTGGAGCTGTAGAAATTATCTCCTATACAAATCTCAATATATTATTGTTTCTTGATTATTTTGCATGTCCTTTGTGTTTGATTTGTAGTTTATTTAGACCGAGTTCCCATCATATTGATGAGTTTCTGCAACTGGATTTGTATTTGTTTTTAAAAAGTAATAATGTGATCAAATGAGCTGTGCTTTGCATCTTGTGTTTTCTTGCAGAACTAAAGATAGTATGTATCATGCTCTGACTTATGCCACCATATTGGAAATGCAAGCTATGATGACTTTTGATCCTCAGGACATACTGAATGCAGGACACACAATGAAGGAAGCTCAAGCCACCTGTCAAAAGTAAGTGTGGAACAATTCAGCCAATAAATAAGACTTTCATGGGGAGGTTTTGAAAGACATTCAGCTTAAGAAGGGACATGTAATTTTGTAGAAATCATAGGAAAGCTGAAGTTGAAAGGGACATGAGGGGGTCATCTAGTCCAGACTCTTGCTGAAAAGAGCATCAGTTATGAGGTCAGACTACACAGGATTTTTAGCAGTCTAGTCTTTAAAACTTCTGTTTACTGCAATACCTGAATTTTCTTGTCAAGTAGATTTTTAACCTGCCTGTAGCCCTAGTTCTGCAGTGTCTGGAAGTTCTTTACCATTTACAGACACTGCAGAACCTTCTTCCCCAGCGGTGATGGTTGTACTGTAGCTGTCTGCAAGTCAGCTGTGCTCCCACTTCTGTGCACATGTACACTTGCACATACACACTTGCACACAACATAAATCAAAAAGCCCCCTCATCCCCTTCCTTCATCAAGACAGTTTCCTGCACATGAGGGGTAAAAGATGGATTCCAGAAGGACCATATTGACTTAAGTTCTGTGTGGAATATGCTGAATTTTGTATATGTGGTGAGATGACAGGGTTGCTGAGCTACTAGAGGTTGTTAGTGTCTGAGTGGGTGGCCAGCTGAAAGACACTGTTCTCTGTTCCTGATGCTTCATGTTCAGAATGACCAAACTGACTTGTCTGCAGATTTAGGAAGAAATCTACAGTAGCTGATTCTATCAACAGCCTTGTGCATAGACAAAGCCTTGAACACTTCACTGAAGGTAATATTATCCTCAACATGCATGAAGTTTTCCTCTTTTTTTTTTTTTTTCTGCAGTTAGAGTTGTGTAGAATTGTTCATCCAGTGTGGTTTTGCAGACTATGAGTTCACTGACAAAATGGCTGATTTGGCATTTGCTGGCTCGCTGTTTTAGCAATTGCTGTGTCACCACAGCCAAAATCACAGTTTTTATTGCTTACTGACTCAGCATTTCCAAAAATTGCTACGTGAAGAAATGCCTGGAAAGGTTCTGGATCCAGGAATTCCTGGAACGCACCATAGAAGTTTCAACAAAGTTTCTGTAACTGTATGTCACTTCTTTTTGTAGTAAACTCAGTAGTCTAGGACTGAAACACTACAGTAAATTTGGAATAGATTTTTCTCAGTTTGAGTGTTGTGATCTTATGCAAGTGTTAATGGACTAAGTGTTTTTAATTACTTGTTGTCTGATTGTTTTGTTTTCTTTCCTGTTCCATGTGACACTAGAGGAAATCCATGCAGAAATTTGCTATGCTGAATGTTTACTTCAGAGAGCAGCACTCACATTCCTACAGGTATGATTCCTGCATGGATCCTTAAGGAAAAGAACACACCATACAGGTGTTTTTAACTTAATGAAATTGTGGAAGAACCTAGTTTTACCTAGTGGTGTAAGACTCTTGGATGAAATCTGGATTTTATCTGGACTGTCTGCTGATGAGATAGTACAATGTTTTGTTATCCTGGTGATTTTCTAAATCACCTAAAACCTTTTAGTTGTGTGAAATGCAACAGCATTAAGCACTGATTTTTCAAATACTGCATCTTGGGCTATCAGTTTAAAAAAAAAAAAAAAGGAAATGGTCATTGAAGCTGTGCTATATTGGAATCCAACCAAGATTTTTGCTTTGGTCAGGCTAGTGTTTGCTTTCCCAAGACTCTAGTCTCACCTGTTCTTGAACAGCTATTATGGCTATTGGGCTCCACACATGCTTTTTGCTTAACAATGCTGTCTGTCTTTAAAAGAAGGGGAGCTTTCCCTCTTACTTGAATTTTATCTGTCTGTATTAATGAACTTGATTTGTTTAATGGATAAACATTGGCAATATTTACCTGGGCTCCAGCTTGCAATTTAAATTGTTAATCATTGTTGGAAAACCTGATTTCTCTTCTTAATTTGGCTGCACTTGCTCTACGACAGTGGGCCTCTTCATCTATGCAGAGGAGATAGTAAAAGTCACATTCACAAAGGAGTTCTGCTTCTGGGCTTATAGCTGATGACAGAGAATGAAGTGCAAATGGTGATTTTATAGTGTTTAGAGGTTGCCAGATGGACTCTGATTTATGTTGGTTATGCTAGTTTAGGAGCAGTGTAACCTTTTTCAGAGAGATCTGCTCTGTGCCTCTGCTAGAAACTATTACTTCAGAGCAAAACTAGTAGTCAGAGTAGCTTCTTCTGAAGATTTTGAGAGTGCTGCTGCTGCTGACTTTATAGGAAGATGCTGGACTTTGAAATAGCTGAGGTGTAGCTACCTATTTCCATGTTCCTTTGGAATTCTTTGGGTTGAGTAGCCTCTAGCACTGGGAACAATTTGGGTGATACATGAAGCTATGGAAGCAAGGCTTTTCAGAACTTCCACATTGTGCCTGTAAGAAAGGAGTGCCTAATGCAGTGTCTCTTGGTTTTAAGCACTATTTTCACAGGTATCTGTTTTTCAGAAGTGTTTATAGAGACATGAGAGATTTGAGAGTAAGAAAACAAGTTCTTGTCCATAAAGAATGTCTGTTCATTTGCTTCCTCTTCTATTCAGCATTTAATTTTTCATAAATGGTTTTAAAAATTAAACAAAGGCACTTGGTTCCAACAGCTATCAAAGTGGTTTAGTTTTAACGCTTGATGTAAATGACCAAATCCAAATCCAAAGTGAAAACACTTAAAAATGAGTAGCAGGATTTAATAAGATGAGTTATTGTCACATTGGTTTTATCTGTTGTTGTTATCATGAGTATTTAAAAGCCATCTTCTTTCCTCTTCCCATTTTCTATTCAAAGGAGAATATAACTGAACCCTTACCTATGGTTAGGTATGCTGTAGCCCCAGCTGCCAATAAAAAAATTACTTCATCTACAGAACAAATAAAGACGGTCTCATTTTTCTGTGATGATTTTGCTTGTATTTGATTAGGATTCAAATCTCTGGGGATAAATCATCAGGAAAAAGAGGTTAATTTATAGTTTCATTTCTGTCCTCAAGTATCATTCTTGATAACGTTGCTGGTACTGCAGGAATAATCCCCTGCCCTTCAATTCTATAGGAAGCCTAATAGCTTCCTATCGTAACTAATGGAAAATCAAGTCTGGAAGAAGTTGAACTCTAACTTTAATTGGATTGAGTTATCTTCCTGATTTACAGGAGGTTGGAAAGCTCCCTGAAGCAGGTTCTGTATCTTTGTGTACACATCAATGAGCACACTTAGACCTTGTTTCCTTAGCAATAACATTAAAACAACCAAATGATCATCTAATCCAGGCTATTTTCTCCACGACTCCTCATATAGCTTCTTAAAATACCATCACAGAAAATACATCTGCTAAAACACATGTAGTCTTCCTATCCCAAAGTAACAGCAGGTATCAAAACAAAGCAGAATGACACCTTACATATGATGAGGCAAGAAACTGCCACCAGAAATATATGAGACTAAAGAGTTCTGTCTTTGGGATACACCTGGAAACTAATGGTCCCCCAGGTACACTTTGGTGAGAGTTCTCAGTTCATGCTATCTTGTAATGCAGCATGTTACTGCATTAGTATGGATCTCATAGGTACTTGAATATTCAGACCAGAAAGAGCATATCCTGTATAACTTTACTTACCCTACTTCCTGCTTAGGATGTGAAACTATATTCTGTAGACTCCTGAGAACAGACGGTTATTTGATTCTGGTGCTGAGCCAGGAAATGTTCAGATCTTAATTGTGCTGAAGGACAAATGAGAGAAAGCTATTTTTTGAAACAGCCACAAATGCCTGTACCTTAGGTGCCATTCATAAGCTTAGTCCCTGTGTTTATTAATGCAAATTCAGATGGCCCAAAGGTCCCAGGGGCTAAATTAATCACAGAAGGCATCAAAGTGTATATGTCCATACAGAGTAAAAATAGTTTAATACAGAAAGGAAATACTAAATCCATGTGTAGTTTCTCAGAGACTTACATTGTGTCATGATGGTTGTATTCAAGATGTGTTCATCTCAAGAAGACAAGAGCCCTTTATAATGCTTATAAATTCATATTGCTGATGTGTTTGCCTTCTAACAGGATGAGAATATGGTTAGCTTCATAAAAGGAGGCATCAAAGTCCGAAACAGTTACCAAACATATAGGTAAGTGAGAGTGATGATGTGATTAAGCATCCTCTTTCAGTGAAAGGTGCTGCTGCTCGAATTGTTCAATTCACAAACTAATTACTGTTGTATTTATTGCAGCCTTGACTGTGGGCCCCAGGTCTGTAGCCTTTCTAAGCCCACACAGGTTCCTCCTTTGCATTACAAAGGCCATTGATAATACAGTTGATTTGGACTGTAAAGATAGTGGACCCTAACCCTGTTAACTCCCATAGTTTGCTTATTTCAAATATATCCTTGAAATTATGTGAAAAAACCACAAACTGTTCTAAGTGATGTCATGCTCATTGTGTCTGCATAGCACTACTTGGAGGTCTTGCAGTTATTTTGGAACTTTCAAAACCAGTAGCTGAAGCATAAGTAATTCCATAATAAATGCATGAAACTAAAACAAAACTGAAAGGCAATAAACTGAAGGACTTGAAATGGCTTTAAACAAAGATTAAACACGTTTACAGGAAATAATGTTTAGAGGGGCTAGTTAGCATAGGGGAACAGATGCAGTCTGTCTGTGTCATGTGGTCCCTGAACAGTCAACTCTTGGAGAATGCTTTTCCAAGCATATGCCACTGTCTGAGTGAATTATTTGGTTAGTTGGATTTTAATCTGGTTAAGTATGGTAGTTGTTCTGCTCTAAAGAGAAGATGCATGCTATTGAGAATAATAAGCAGAGTTGCTTATCTGAACTCACAATACTCCCATTACTTAGTGCCTGTAAGCCAAAAACATCTGCTCAAGCTGGCTTCTCTTCATCCAGGAAGATATGGAGAGCTACTTTCAACATGTACAAAAGCCTTTCAAGTGCAATAATCAATTTTTAAAACTACATGAAAATGTACACCATGGGAAGTATACTCATTTGTGCCTCACTAAATTAAGATCAGCTCTAATATATGTAAAAACAAAGTGTTATAAATCTAGTAGCTCTTGGGTGGTCTTCAAAGGAATGCTGATAACAACTTGAATGTGACTAAAACATGTATTTTAACAAAGTTTGTATGTGAGATTGACAACCACAATTTTTGCACTGTACCTTTGATGTCAGAAGAAATAATGGTTTGCTGTTTTGGTAAGAGCAGGGTGCAACAGAGAAAACATGGAAGTGAGAGTTTATTTGCTTTGATTGATCAATATTATTTACAACATCATTTCTGATATAAAAAAAGCCATCTTTCCTTTCTCTGCTGTCAGCAGTTCTGCTTTATAATCCACAGCAACCCTGAAAATACAGGAGCAAATGTTGCAAAGATAAAATTTTTAAAACTCCCTTTCAAGGACAAAAAGTTGCCAGATACTGTAAAAAAGATGGAATGAAATAATAATAATTTAAAAATTCAGAACACACCATTTACTTATTATCAGTGAATAGGATGTATCAGAAAATTTTCACCATAGTACAGACTATGAATATTTTTTTTAATTAAAGCTAAATATGCATAATTTTTGTTTTATTTTAAGACTTGAAATTTGGATTCAGAACAGCCACAGAAACTGATGTGTCTAGGAGACACAGAACAGCATCCAGTCCAGGTTCTCCAGAAAGATATTGAAAGGGAGTGTCCATGTTTGTGGGGGTTGAAGGTGACTCTAAATTCAGGTCCACTGTAAAGACTGCAATTACAGTGAACAGTCCAAGCAGATATTAACAAAATAAACTAAAATAGTTTGAAAAACAAATAGGTATAGAAAGCTTGGAGACAAAAAAGGTTCAAATCCAGTTGTATTTGACAGGGAGATAGAGACACTACAAAGCTAAAATCTCTGAAAGTCATAATAGTGAAAAGTAATTTATGATACCCTTGCTTATTTAAAAGTATTTCTTACAATTGTCTTTTCCTATATGAAACAAATATTTTTTGAATGAACATGCACAAAAAGGGGATAGCTAATCCAAGAATTAGTGAAACTCAAGTCACGTTTACCAATTGAAATGATTTAAATCTCCTGCACTGCCTCGTCATCTCTTTTTGCAATAAATGTCACTAGCCATTCTTGAAACATTTTCAGACGGAAATGTGGTTGAAAATTTACCATGTCTGACAGAAACTGATCTCCAGGACTCCTTATTGTTTTAACTGATAGTAATGTAACAGAAATTATTTGTTGATAATCCAAAAAAAATGTTGTAGGTGTTGTTCACCTGGGTCAGATGACGAATTAACAATTTTTTTTAATGTGATGTAGTTCAAGGTAATTGGGTTACTTTCTTACTGAATTGTAATTAACCATTTTTTTTACTGACATTGTAATGGATTCTTGTGGATTTTCAGGGAGCTGGACAGTCTCATACAGTCTCCACATTATGTCAAAGGCGAGAACCATCTTCATTTTGAGGGAGGTGTAAAACTTGGAGTTGGGGCATTTAATCTGGTAGGTACCAAGAGTTCTTCTCTTGAGCTGAAGCCTTGCAGCCTTCTGAAAGTGATCTTAATTTATAAGAAATACCTGATAAATTCCACTAACATCAACGTTACTAATTATATGGTTAAAATTTAGGTATGTGCAGGATCCCAGTCTCTGGTCTAAGAATGGTAATAACTTTAGAAATAAAGAGACTGCTGCCTGCAACGTGGGCTATAGTGCTCTGTGTGTGCATAGCCAGTTGCACATCCTCATTGGGAGATCAGATGACAAATTAGCTCATCTGACATGGGAGATACTTGGAGGGTGGGTGTTACAGTCACATGAGAAGGGACCCACTGAGGAAAGGCCTTGCACAGAAGCAGCAGTTGTCTGTGCTTGTTGACTCCACTTGCTGTTGAAATGCACTTGGGAAACCAACAGGGACTTGGCTATTAACAGGGCAGCTGGTGAGGCAGGGTGTGTGAATGGGGCCTTGGGTGCTGTTCAGGCCACTGTTGGCTGTTGTTGTTTGTTTTCTGGTCAGAAAGTGGGTGGTCAAGTAGTGCAGGACTGTTCCTGGTATGTCAGAGGTGTTGACCCAGAGATGGGGTGGTGTCCCTGTTCAGGTGATGGGCTGCAGAAAGTGCTTGGTGCCTCCCCTAGCTTACATTACTTTGTGTGAGTCTGGCATATGCCTAAATGTAAGATTTATTGCAGAAAGAACAAATATGTACTGTGTGGTATGCACCAAGTAGTTCTGAAACATGCAGGAAGTACTTAGAGTTACTAAACATGTGCGGTGTATACATAGATCTGTGCAGGGAACCCTGGAGATGCCGTGTTTCTGTATTAAACAAATGCTCCTGATTAAATGGTATGTAAAATTTACCCAGGAACTCATCAGAAATATAGAGATGTGTGGAAAAATTGTAGGAGGCAGGTGGTAGTTGAAAGGCAGAAAGTCTGTTACTGTGTAATTGTTGCATTCCTTTCTGTAGACACTGTCCATGTTTCCCACACGGATTCTGAGATTGCTGGAGTTTGTTGGATTTTCTGGAAACAAGGTAAATGTGAGTTAAATATTACTAGTACATTCACTTTTAAGTTTAAAACCTGAGATGCTTTCTGATGCTTTTCATGCAGCTCAGTTTTTTGCTATATTTTTGTCTGAACTATTACACTTCAGAGATTTTGATACTGTTGTTTGATGTTCATGTTGTGAAACATAAGACAATGACTAATACAATGATGTTGACCTACACGATTGTACTTAGAAATCCACAGCCAAAAGTGTTTTCTTAGCCTTTAATGTATTTGCTTACATGATACTTACTATCATTATGGTGTGTGAAAGTCCTTGACAGTTTCCTGCATGAGATCCAGTTAGGAAAAAAATTTCAGTTCAATTTTTTTTTTTCCTCCATGTCTTTAATAGCAACTGGTGACTTGAGTGTGGCACCTAAATTGTTTTTCTCTAAAAGAATAAGTGCTTTTTTGCTTAGAGAGTAACCAGTCTGACCTGTGTTGTTTGTGCATGCAGCCTAAGGACAGAAGTTTAGTAATGAAGCATCAATAAACACACTCGAACTTGAGTTATTCCTCATGGCAGATGTGTGGAAAGCACCATGTTAGGTTTTTTGTGGATTTATGGTTTCAAAATAGGATACTAAATTGATGGGAATATCTTGGCCTTGATACTGTGTACCTGCCCTTGTCTCTCATTCTACTTACAGACCATGAGATTCATTTGAAGTTGGGTTTCTGGATTAGGAAAGCATGTTCTGTTTAAACACTATTTACATGCATTTCATAAATGCTGGTAAGGTAAATGTTTGATGTCCTGCAAACACAACAAAAGCTATATAAACAGGTTAAAAACTCTTTTGTAATGCTTTATATTTACAAAACGAGTTTCAAGGAGCTGCACCCTTACATGACAGGTGGATGAGTGTCATCACCATTGTATGAGTTTACAGGAAAGATTTTAGATCTGAAAATAAAATGTCTTGTTTGAAAAGAAGGAGCTTTTGGGGGAGGATGGATTAAAACTTGGAAATTTCCAGGAGTGGCTCAGGAGCTGTTTCCCAAGCAGTAGAGGCAAACATCAAATAGTTCTGCCTCTCAGTTACAATGTAAGGGGCAATTCTTACACCAGCAGAATTCTGAGAATACTTTGCAGAACACTCATCTGATTACTGCAGATTAAAATTGTCCCTCTAATTCAATTTCTGTTGGGTTTTCTTAGCCCTGGGATTTCTTGTATGGCTATGAGTGGGCTGGTATTTGTGTTAATGAGCCAGCTTTCATTTTTTAATGAGTCACTGAAGCATGACCCAGATTACCATAAATTTCAGCAAAAGCCTGCTCTCTACATACCATAAGAAATGAGTACTTTAAACATGTTGATCAAAGTTCTTTTAATATCCAAAAAAAGTCTGCATTTAACATTTGTGAGTCAGATGGCTAAAGCCAAAAGCAAAATTGCATTTGCAATCCTTCCCAGTGGTGGTTTTCCAAAGCTTGCAAGAGAAAGCTGTCCCCTGCAGTACAAAGAGTCTTGAAAGTGAAAGAAACAGTTATAGAGGAGGAGAGGGCAAGTCCTGCACTTTAACCAGAAGAAAGGCATTTTGAATGCATCAGTGTTTGCTCTTGCAGCCTTTTCCATTAAATGCTCATGGTCAGCATCACACTGTTCAAAGGACAAGAGAGATGTGGTTGGTGCCTTGAGCTGTTTACAGTTTACCTGAGAGAGCTACAGTGCATGGGAGGACAGATTGCTTTTGGTGTGGGCCATGTGGTTATTAAAACTGGATATAGAATTGCATTGTGGTATATTTCACAATACTAATCTGCCTTGGAGCCAGCAGATCTGCCCTGAGGGACTTGTCTCTCAGATATGTCCTGTCTGCTAGTAAATGAGGACATGCCCAAGGCTCCGTTACTTTCTAAGCCATTTGTGGGCACTGTGGACAACATGATCAACTTAACAGCACTCTGGAGTCTCAGAATAGTAGGTGGGATAAGATCAAGAAAGTATAAAAGTAGCCTCAGGCCACCTTTGTTCCCTTCCACTCCAAGATATGCCAGTTTTGCCATTCTCACTTTCCCCTATATCAAAATTCAGGCTTATTTGGTTTAATGGCATAGGCCCTGCATTTGGGCATTGAGGCTCAATGCAGTTTTGCCCAATTCTATGAGAAATTTTTGTGGGCAGAATTATGTATTACCCACCATCATGTTTGCTGTGCATGCCTTCCTCACTCCCTGGGCAGTAGGTGGAAGATGTGTTCCAGCTGGACTTTTTGTGTTTAGTTGTAACTAACTTCTGATGTATCTTCCATATAAGCCTTGAACCCTTCTTACTGACCCCTCTGCCAGGGGTCAGGCTAATATTTGCTCTTGTGCTGGTTTCAGAGATGGTTACAAATTCTGTGGTGCTAAGCTGTAGAAAGGTTTGTTATGAGCCCACCATATGTTAATTGAGATTTGTTAGAGGGTCAGATGACAGCATGATTTCAGGGAAGGCAGGAAAACTTTCAGATGGAACCAATTTCTGTCAAATTATACTTTTTGATGTAGGAGGATTTTTCCCAAAGCAGCTGAGCTAGAGAATATTTTTGATGTCTCAATTTGTAATAAATTGAATTTTAGTTTCCCACTAAGCATCTTTCTGATTTGCATTTTGGTCTCTTCTGCCAATTTAAAATGAAGGTTAAAGCTAAAATTGTTTCCTGGGATACACAGAGATGCCCCATCTACCCATTTAATTAGCCTGTTCTTCATAAAAGCTGTTAGTATGATCCATTCTCCTTGCTAAGACTGCAGTAAAGTGATTAGGTCATGGGACATGAATGATGACCTTGCTTTGCTTTCATTGTCAAGATCCCTAATTAAAAGAGAATTATTTAAAAGTGCCATTCAAGAGCTTTCACTTTGAGGAAGCAGATGAATTTTAGTCAGTGACAGCTTAAATTAATATGAACCAGTCCAAACATTTTCTGATAATGGTTTTGAGCATTGTCCTTGTTCATCCTGCATTCACTGTGGGAATCCCCACTGCTCATGTGAGGAGTCCTGAATGACAAAGCATTGGATGACTTAGAACAAGGATCAAATCAGTGAGATACTGATGTAATAGAATGTAGAAATAATCTTGGGAATTAAGAGATTGTGGGACTTTAAGAGCAACTTGTACAGAAAGGTGAGGGTTCCTGTATTGGACCACATTTGTATCTAAGAAGTGTCCTTGCTCCCTGCTCTGCATTATACCTTATGCCCTTCAGAGTAACTTACATTTTGTGTGAAAACAAAACCTAAATGTGTTCATGTCATTTAAGTATTTTGGAGAAACTATGGCCACTTGTTGCCTTTACATGAGCTCTGTATTGTAGCAGTATGCCCTGTAATGGGCTTTTGAAGCTCGTTCTTGGTGTTCTGGGATTGCTCATGTCACCTGCAGCACAGGTGTGGGAGATGCTTGTGGGTTATTTATGGTTAGAAGGTGTGTCCTGGCAGTTAAACATAATACTTAGTGACTGGCAGCAGTGACTGTAGTTTGTTTATGGAGTTACTTCTTAGGCTGAAGTAGTAGCTGCTTGTGATTTAGCACCGAGATGCTCAGTGTGATCCCCAGTGAGGATTAAATGGGTGTAATAAAATTGCCCAACTCAGGACACCTCACTTGGCTGATAGATTTTCTGGCTCACCTCTGCAGGCTCCCTGTGGAGAAGGAGTAGGTGCATGAAAAGGTGATTCATATTGTCTGCCTTAGGTTTCTGTTCCTTGGAGGAGCACCTCTGTCTCTGCCAGCCACACAGGCCAGGGCAGGCTGGCTGCCTGAATGGTGTCTGTAACAGTTCCCAGTGACAACCTGCATCATCCCACCTCCCTGGGGATCTCAGCATAACAGAAGCAGGTTGCAAGAGGCTATTTGAGGAGAAGCATCTTTGTTGTAGCCTTTTCTAAAAGCAAGTGTTGAAATCCTAGTAACAACTACTTCCAGATTTCTTGTATTCAGATTGTGTCTGCTGATAATATTGTTCCTTTAATATAGAAAGTTTGAGGTATTCGAGTAGCAGAATGACAAGTAAGCATTGGTTAATACCTGTACTGGACAAAATAGGATTATGGACATACCACAGTGTGAACTAACCTGCTTGGTGAGCTTCCCATACCTGTGTAACTACTCTGTTCAAGAATTCAGTCTCAGATGTGCCAGATTTGCAGCTCTCTTCTGATGAATGGGCAGTGTTCTTAACCTAGTTACATCACAGCTGCTGCTGCTTTCCAGGATGCTGTCCCACGTAGGATGGGTGTGGGTTGCACTCCTGTTCATACAGATGATAACTTTGTGTTTTATTTTATTAAAATACATTTTGGGGACTAAAGTAGATAAGTGAGATCAACTTGACAAATAACTAAATTGTTCTATATGGCTAATATTTGTTCCTCTGTCATTCTTAGTGCTATTCACAGATGTGATCAGCAACAATTGTATATGTGTTTTTATATTATATGGAAGGTGTCAAACATTGCAAGGGCTGGTACTGATGTCAGTAAAGGCTTAGTGAAATATCCAGCCTGAAGACTTTTCACTTTACAAAAATGTCCTTTGGAAATATACTTTGGAATTTTTTTCTGCCAAAATTCATTCCACAGGTTGTTTTGTCTTACTTCTACCTTGCAGTGCTACTAATTTTTTAAAAAATTCAAATATTTGTGGTTTTCATGAGGCAGTTTAAAGAAGTAGAATATGTCATATTTTATTAGTTACTGTATCAATCAAACTCTTATTCTCAGGAGAAAATGTTGGCTTTATTTGCTGAGTGTTTGATTTCCATTAACTTAGTGATTTGCAGTAATGATTTTACTACCTTTTAATTTCTTCTGAAGTGACATGCAAGTCAGTGTTTTTGTTGTTATGTCTAGGCTAGATGTCATACTAATTGACCTGCAAATATGTATGTTAATGGTACTTTCCCCTATAGCAGTAATAAATAAAGATTTTTTTTAAAAAACACAGATATGTATGTGAAAACAATTAACCACACTGACAAAGTACAGATATAATGAAAACTAGAATATGATTATGGGAATCAGAGATTGTGCAGTAAGTGCAAGGGCTGAGGTGGTCTAGCACCCTTCTGTTGACAAGAACACAAGAAATTAAAATCTCCATTGAGACCATGCTCTGAGTGCTCTGAAACCTTCCCCTGTGGCCCTAATAGTCATCTCTCAGGGTCCCTACTTACAGTGTTTTTGGTTTGAAAGGGTGTGTTTGCAGTCACATACACCATATTCCAGTAACTTTCCATTGCAGTCGTAGTGTAACTTGGAACAGAATTTTCCCCAGCACACTGGGTGTCTTACTGCGCTTATTTACCGGTGGGCAGATGTCATGTTTAAAGTGTTTATATACTTACATTCTTGCTGTTGAACCAGTCCTGGAAAGCCTGCTAAATCCTGTTGCCTCAGGAGTTTGAATCCTTAAAGTTGGTTTTCTCTAGTGCTGTCATTGAATAGAAATACAACCTTACACTTAGTTGCTTTAGTTCTTTCCAAAGAGAGCAGAAATACTTCTCTTTTCATCATATTTTTCCACTGGTGGTAGCGGGCCAACATCATTGCAAAGCTCCTTTTGTTCTTAACATACTTAAAAACATCCTTTTGCCCTAATATCCTTTGCTCTGATAGTTGCAGGTTTTTTCCTTGGTATCTTAAAACTTGCTTATGCAGTGAATAACAACAAACATGGATACACTGCACAATGGCCATATTTGTTGCATTTCAAAACTGTGTTTTTTTGTTTCTGGAATGCTCTTAGCAGCACTTGGATGGTAGTGTTGAGTTGTCTCACGTTCTCTTATGGTAACCATGTAATAAATCCCAACTTGCTGCTTTGTCATCAGATGTTTTCCAGGCTAAGGAGTAACTCCATGGAAAACTGTTCAGATAGCTTCACATGCATGTCTTGGATTGCTAAGCAAGCAAAGTGTGTCAGTGCAGCCAAGTTTGGGAATTTGGGGAGTGAGCAACCTGTAGATAACACTCCAGAAGTTAACAAACTAGCAAAGCACAGCTTTGATTCTTTTCCAATCCTTTGTCCTCCTCACCTCTGTTTGCACAGGAGCGTGGTCTGCTGCAGCTTCAAGAAGGAGCATCATCATACAGCTTTAGGTCGGTGCTGTGTACCATGCTGTTGCTTTGCTATCATACTTTCATGACCTTTGTGTTAGGTAAGATTGTTTATAATAACTCTTGGATTTGATTCGTTCTTGTGGGACAAAGAGGGGGGGGAAAGGTGATTCCATCACCTATTTATTCTTGAATAGTTTGTTTGTGATCAGATTAAATGTAACTCATTTGTGGGTGATTTGACAATAGTGACCAGTGCTGAAGGGAGCATCTTAAGCGCTTAAGACAGCAAGGTTTGTTTAACACGTAAGAAGGGAGAAGATGGGGATAGCAAAGGAAGCTGGGAGAACTAAATCTTTTCAAAGTAGTCAGGTGCATTATTTGGGAAGTTAAAATAATGGTTGTAAGTGATAGCATCCTGAATATTTTGTTCATGTTTATGCCATCCTTGACCTTTTTGGGAGGTAGTAGCTTCCCACTGAGATGCACTTCCCTGTGATCTCCTGCTAAAACATTCTACAAAATATGTTGGGCTGTGCATAAGTGAGTTTTCAAGTCAGTAAGTGCAAGTGTATTGGCCAGACAAGGACGGCTACTCAGTACCTTGTGTTCCTGGTTTTGGTTTGGTTTTTTTTTCTTTTCTTACTATTTTAATCACTTGTGTTTTTACCCATTCTAGGGACAGGAAAAGGAAATGTTGAGGAGGCCGAAGCACTACTGAAGCCGTACTTGGCACGCTATCCAAAGGTAAAATGAATCATGATTTAGTTTGGTATGATCATGTCATGTTTTCCTGCCAACTAACAAAGATCTAGATTGTATGGTTAGCTTGAAAACTGTTATAGAATACTTGCATTTTTATTATTATTTGTTACAGGGAGCCATATTCCTGTTTTTTGCAGGCAGGATAGAAACACTGAAGGGTAATATTGATGCGGTAAGTAGTACTTTTGCTTTTGGGAAAGTCTCAGAAGCTTTAGAAAAACTTCAGAAACAATCTTTCCTTTTTATATGCAATTTATAGTTTATGAATTGCAAGTAGGAATTTTGGAAACTACTTGAACTACCTTGTGTGACCAGCTCTTTTTGCTGCCCTTCTCAATTTCTGGTGATAATCTAGTCCACCAGTATTAATTACACAGTTTTCTCATTGTCTTTCCTACCCTAAAGCAAATTGTGCCTTTAATGACATCCAGTCATAATCCTTTGCCTTTGGTCTGTGTGGAGAGTTGTACAAGACTTGAAAAAAGTTGGGAGATGAAGAATGTGTGTGCAAAGTATTCCAAGACAGATTATCAGCTGGTGTGCAGTACACCATTTTTGGAGCTGCAACAGTGAATGTCAGCTGAGCATCTGTCCTCTGACCCTATTTTCCTAATTTCCCTAGGCACAAGCATTCATTTCGCCTATGCTTAGCACTTAATATAATGTCCAAGAATGGTGAGCTCTGTGGCAAAGGTGAACTTGCTAACACCAGGGTGACTGTGGAGTCAGGGATCCCTCGTGTGAAGCCAACATATGTGATTTTGGGAAATACTGGGCTGTTAATAATTTGGAAGCCTTAGGAGCCATGCTGGTAAATCATGGATCTCCAGTGTCTGTTACAGCATGTATGCATTCATACATGACAAAATCAGTGTTTGGAAATCTCTGTGTTCAGGCAGTTAAAAGGTATGAAGAATGTTGCGAGGCTCAGCAATACTGGAAGCAGTTTCACCACATGTGTTACTGGGAGCTCATGTGGTGCTTCACCTACAAGCGCCAGTGGAAGATGGCTTTCTTCTATGCTGACCTGCTAAGCAAAGAAAACACTTGGTCAAAGGTAAGTTAAGTGGAACAGGAGGGCAGAAGGCCCTGTAGTGTCTCTTAACTTTCAACCAGATTGAGCTGATTTTTCTGTAGCTTTGAAGCTTTTCCAGCTGTGAAGATGAAGATTGTAAAACAAAACCTGCTCGGTCTGCTTATGGGACAATTTGAATTGCAGACATTCAAATCTGAACAGATTATGGGCAAACAGAGATCTTTAGGGCCTGACATGTAGATTAAGCTTTGTATTGACTGGTTGTGTCATCAACACATTGCAATTAATGGCACAAGTTGCCATTTCTTTTGTTACATTATGGATATGAGCTCTTATAGTGATGAGTGAGGCTAGCCATGGTGGTGCCTACAGGATAATAAATATAGTTAGAAGAGACATCTTGCCCTGTGCATCTGAAAAGGAGAAGCTCTTCCATCCAGAACCCTGGTAGCTTTCTTCCCTCTGTCTTCCCCCAAGCCCCAGGGGAATCTGTCAAAAGGAATTAAGTCTGGCTGGGAGGGGTGTGGTTGGTTGTAGGTTTCTTGGTTTGTTTCTTCTTAATGTGATTAGACAATGTGTGGGAGGGTATCTCTGTCTGTTTTTCCTACTGCACATTGTATGTATCAGCCCAGTGGAACCAAAGCCACCGTGAGTTCCAAGCAGCCAGGTGAGAGCAACTCTCCCAGTGCTCCCACTCAGGTGACAACTGCAGGATGGCCCCTCTGTGCCCTGGGGATTCTGGCAACACGTTCAGCCAGGTACATTGGCTGAGTAGCTCACACAGGACTCACACAGCCAGGGAAAGGCTACCTGGCCAAAAGCTTTAGTGCCCTGGAATACTGTAGGATTGATATCAGCGTGTGTCCTTTTAAACTGTGTGTACAGTTTTATACTATTTTGCAAGGGCCTTAGAGAAGCAGAGATGATGTTTCTTTCCTATTAATGTGTAACCTAGAGTGCAATGTGATCGTAGCAAACTAGTAACTACCTGAGCCAAATGAAAGATGGTCACATATATACACTGTTAGTTTCCACTGTAGGTAAATAATCACAACCTAAAATATTCCAGAAAAATCCTGAAACTTATGGTTACTGTAGACTCCTTAAAGCAGTACTAAAGAACTCACTGTTAATTCTCTACTGCTGCAAGAGTTGTCACCTGCTTTCCTTGGTTGCTGAACATATCATTGCTCAGCTATCCTTATGAAATCAGCACTTTTCATAATCCAAAATAATTAAACCCTTCAAAAACTGTTTCATGTTCTCTGGAACCTAATATTTGAGGTAATGCTACTGAGTTGTGTTTGGACATACAGACTATATAGTAGTTTGTTTTTTTTCTCTGAGCATGACCTTCTCGTAAGTTTCCTAGCATGTATTCCTGAGAGTAATAGAAATTCACTTTACACAAACATGACATTTGTTCTTGGAACATGGGCATAAACTATAGGTTGATACAAAGTAAACAGACATAAATGATAAAAGGATTTTCTGTACTCCACTTTCTAAAATACTTCCTGCTTAAAATGTTTTAAGATCACGCCTGCTTGTGAGCAAAAGCAACTTCTTCCTTTTTGTTGCTGTTTTGTGATTTATATCAATAATGGTGATGCTTTAAATTAATTTTTCTATACAGATATTCTTGATTGCATTTGCAGGCTACTTACATTTACATGAAAGCTGCTTTTCTCAGTATGTTTGGACCAGATGACTGCAGTCCTTTTGGAGACAGTGAAGTTGAATTATTTAGGTAAAATGTGCTTACTCACAGTTTCCTATCTTTTCATGTCATGGTGTTGGGGGAAGAAAGACAAAATTGTTCATAGTGCAACATGGAAGATTTGCGCAAATAGAGTTGAATTGGTAAGAAATTGCAGAATGAAACATTCCCCTTAGGTTAAAGTCGACCCTGAATTCAGACAGTATGTTTCTGCTGGCCTGGAAATACTTTAGAGACAGGATGTTAGGTCTGTCAGCCATACAGTGGCTGCTGCATGTAGTATTCACATTCTTTCTCAATTTTTTTTCTTTTAATTAAAATGCCATGGAAGGTCTGAAAGCCTTGAATGGATTATGCTGCAAGATGTGTGCCTCCTCAGTGGAGACAGCATCAGTACAACTGGATTCTTGGGGTTTGAGTCTGACAGGAATATGAAGTAGTTGAATGTATAAGTGAATATAGGCATTACTAACACAGTGAATTAACCTAATTGTAGTGATTAAGTTCAAAAAATGCCTACTAAACTTTGCTGGGCCAAATAAAATGGTTTACTTTGTTTGGTGTGATTTTAAAATGAAATCTAAATATGCCTTTTGTATGGGCTTACTATGTATCAATACTTTCCAGACCTTTCATGTCTTACAACAAGTAGATTTCACTGGATTTGGGAATCTGTTACAAACAGTTTGGTCTTTGAGAGAATGGGAGGAACACTGGCAAAAGCTGGCTTGCCTCTTTCTTAGTCTGTGAAGGGAGATGGGCCCTTTATGAGTTTGGTGCCTGATTTGATTTATTCTTTGGGTGGAGAAGAGTCCCTCTTCTTCCTGCTTGATTAAAGAAGAAGCCTAGAGATACACTGTGCCTTGCATGAAGACAGCTTTTGTGGGTGTGTGTTGCTCAGCTTGCCTAGAGGTAGTGGTAGCTCAATGTGTAACAAAAGCTGAATTCTCTTTGGTTTGATTTTTCTTTTAATTCTGAACTTTCAATGTGTGTTTATTTTCCCAGAGGCTCACACAGGAAAAATTGCTTACATTTTCCTTTAAACTTTCAGGATTGTTCCCAGTTTGAAACTGAAAATTGCAGGGAAGTCACTGCCTACAGAAAAGTTTGCAATTCGGAAAGCTCGACGGTATCTTTCTTCAAACCCCATTCCTTTGCCTGTTCCACCTTTGGTAAGTTAGAAATACACACATCCCCCCTTATAACTATATTTAATTTCTGGAAATAAACCCGAGAATTAGAATAGTGTCTTTCCATGTTTCTAAGGTAAAGACTCTGCAGGAGACTGGAATGTTCCCAAAGCAAAGCCAAATGAATGTGAGGAATGCTGTGAAACTGGGGCATGCACCAGCCACAGGGAACTAAGCCAGTTGTTTGGGACATGTAAATGTGTTGCATGTGTAGCTCATTATTCTAGCTATAGACAAGCATGCTCCTAACAGCTTTCTTTTGACTCCTCTTTGAGGAACTTTGCCCTAGGTCTCTTTTGTCATGTGTCATTTACCAAGGCTACTAGAAGAAGACTTGAAGGTACAAGTAAGGAGGGGTAAATAAAAAAAAAAACCAAGGAAACAATGCAAGACTTGGGGACTGCATGTAAGTGTCTTTTTAATGTGCCCCTGAATGTTTGCAATTCATTGCTCTCCAGAGCAACTCATGGGTGCTGGCATGGAACAACCAAATCCTTTACTACTCCAGAAAAACTATTGCTTACTGTTGATTTTTTTTCTTTTTCCCTTTTTTGCCTGTGACTCTGGCCTGTTCCCTGTGGCCAGATGAGAACAGCTGCATAAGGCACCCATTGCCTGGCTTCTGGTGCACTTATAAAAATCTGTTTGCCAAGAACACGTAAAAGAGCATCAAAGGATTTTGAGTCCACCAGTTTGCCAAGTGCAGTGGTGTTAACATTTTCAGTGCTTTGAGCTGTGGCATTTGAGAAACAGATGGATAATTAGTAAATACTCTATAAGAAAATGCCTAAACAAGGACAGCTTCTTGGAGACATGAGGAAGTAGTCATTTCTCAGTCCCCCTCCTCCCCAGCTGGGTAGGTGCCACAATGCTTCTGGAAGAAGTACAGTTGTTACAGCATAGCATGAGTGTTCTCCAGGGACCACTTCCCACTAAGTCATAAGACTGAAATGAGAGAAATAATTAGGTTATTTTGATTTGCCTTTCAGGATTCAGAGATTGTAGAGTAAGAAATGTATGCTTTGGGTTTTGGCTGGGCAGTTCTAATGGGATTTTAGCAGAACAGGTCTCTGTACAAAGAGCTTTCCTTGGAGTGGCTGGACATGGTGACCTGTGTTTCTGCTGCAGTTGCATTTCTGAGGCAGCAGATGCTGCAACTGAACAGTTAAAAACACTCAGAATGGGGAATTGGGTGCAGAATCTCCTCTCTAGGATTATTCTTTTCACTCTGAAGGGGCAGAGTGTCCTAAAGCAAGTCTTAGCTCTTGTTAACAAATCTGCACTAGATACAGAAAGTTCAGTACAGGTTTTCTAATCAGTAGAGACCAGATGGTGAAAGCAAGAGCGACTGGGGTTAACATACTGCTTCATCTCTTCTAGCCTGACAGCTTTTTACACTGTAGTTCCAGAACTCAGTTATTCTCTACAGAAATTTTAAGGAAGAGCTTTAAATTACCAAATACAGACTAGATCATGTGAAGAAAAAAAAAGTAACTTGTGATGTTGACCACTTGTAAACATATATAGTATTTCCATCTTTAACTCTGTGATTGTTAGTGGCAGTTTGGTCTGGTGATACACTCTTAAGGAGAACCCCAATAAGAAATAAGAATAATAGTTTATCCTAAAAGCAGTTGAATAAAAAAGATGTTACTTTCTGTGGGAACATCAAAACAACCTGAGGAATTTAAGGGGTTTCCAGTTTAGCTCTAAAATTCTGTTGGTCTGTTTGAAGCTTTGCTTAAAGATTAGGGTTGGTTTTTTTTGTTGTCCTGAGGTTTAATGTTTTTCTGTAGAAGCAATACATTGTAATTATTTTTATTTATTGCTACCCTGGCTGGTATAGAACCGAAAAGCAAGAGGAGACTTTAGTAAAAGAGACAGTCTTGTGCCATGAATGTTTTAAGTCTGTTTTGTTGGTACTTGTCTTCATCTGTAAGTGAGAGATTTTGCTTGTGTTCTGATCAAGCAATCCTTGCATTGTGTGTAGTACTCAGTTGTCTTCTAGAGCTAATTTGTTCTGAAAACCAATATAACAAGTTCTCAGTTGCAATGAAAATATGTTTTGACAAACTGACTTATTGTTTAAGAGATCTATAGCTTTTTCATAATACAAAGATAAACTAAACTATTTATCCAGTGCTGTAATTAATGATGCTGTCATTTCTTTCTGACCCTAGGAAATGATGTATATCTGGAATGGCTATGCTGTAATTGGACAGTGTCCCAACTTAACAGAAGGCATGTTAGAGACTTTAATTGAAGCAGAGGAAGCACTGGCAAGAAGTTCAGGTAATGAGAAATACTGTTTAAGCAGGTATTTTAAAGTGCAATAGCTAAAGATAGTATCTGTGAATAGAGACGCTCATTAGTAAAGTTAATTTGATGAGCGGAGGAACATAGATAATAAAACCATGAACTGTTTTTGCAGATAGGAATCATTTTCCTTTTTAATATAACAGTAACTTACAATAGTAGCAAGTGACGTTCTATCCACAAATGTGTATTAGGAACAGTTTATGACGTGTGTTACAGGGCTGGTTATTTTGCTAGATCAAAATCAGCATCTGTATTGACTTGATGACTTGGATCATGAAACTTCATTATCCTCAGATACTGCATTTCAGTTTTGAAGGGTAATTAGAAGGAAACAAGTTTTAAAAGTGCTGTCAGTTTATGACGTGTCCTTGGGCTGAATGGTATTGGTGTGCAAACAGTAATAGAAATAATAATAGAAAGCTGGGACATCAGAGTTGGGCTTCCTTTGCACTATGAATGAGCTAAGATATGGGGCAGTATTGAACTGGCACAGGCTCTGCTGCCACACCTTCTCTTAATTGGCCATCCATGAGAAAATTCAATTGATGTTTATTTCTTGCCAGTTTTTCCCAGCTCCTATGGGAGTCCAACCAGGATGCACAATTTTTCTCACAAAGTTTATCCTCACTAAATATTTTGCCTTCCTGCAGAAGGATCAGGCCTCTGATGACAAAGGGATGTGGGCTAAATCACTGCACTGCAATCTCTTCTAGGACCTTGGTCTTCCTGTGCACTTTGTATTATGCAAGATTTGAAAGAGTTGCCTAAAAGACTAAAGGTTAAAGCTATCTCTTTATTAAATTCATTGTGAACAGAAAAAACCCACGTATTTCCTATGAAATGTATCATGCAAAAATTTGCTCATAGAGTGTTGTTAGTAATGACTGTGAACGAGGCACTGGTAGGGCTGGCAAGACTCTGGGCACCCAGAAGCATAAACTCAGGAGGTGAACAAGGTATGGCAAGATGAGGGGGTATAAGGTGCAGGTAGCAAAGTTTGGCATAGTTTTGTTAATCCAAACAAAGGTGGAGAATTGATAAAACTTGCCTAGAAATAGATCATGTGACTGGAAGTCAAGGAAGTACAAGAACTATACATACTAAAGGGCAAAAGGCACGAGATTAAGACATTATAAATTGGACCTCAATATTTCCAAAGTGGACACTTCAAATCAGTTTTTATGTGTTGGAACAATAATATTGTGGAATAGCCATTCAGTGGGAGTAGGGAGGAAAAGAACAGCCCAACATTTTTTAGACAAAGTTTTGGTCAGTCTATGAAAAGGTTGATGTGTATCTGTCTTTGCATTAAATTAATCTAAAATGACCAGTTTGATTCCTCTGTCCTATGTTCCAGTAAATGGATTGTGCTCACACCTCCCTGTGTGTAAAAATCTCTGCTATTCTAGAGTTTTCTAAAATGTGCTGTTCACTTCATCTTGCAGCTACAGAATTACTAGCAGATGACCAGTGTGTGATAAAACTGTTAAAGGGATTATGCCTCAAGCATTTGGGCAAGATCTCAGAAGCAGAAGACCACTTTAATTACATCTATTTAAAGTAAGTTTTCATACCTGGCATAGAAGAGAGCTCTTGAATTTCTCAATAACTGTTCCTTTCAAGTAAGAGGAGATGAAACTGTGATGTGAATAGAAGGGAGAGGACTACAGTATCTTTATCATTTAATTCAGTTGCTTTGATATCAAGAAATTGCAGGTTTAATTGCCAGTATTGTTACTCATGCATGGAAGAAGAACTGCACATCTGCACCTTCTACTGAGATACTTTTGCCCTTTTTTGGGAACTATACATGCATAAAAATTTTGAGATACCACTTCCCTTCCCATCCCCCCAGCCCTTCTTACCAGTTATGAAGAAGTTGTACCCAAAAAGCCAAATGCAGTCTGCAGAGACAGATGGCAGCACGATTATACTTGGAACTTTTATGCACCATGCAATGAATGGCATCTCTTTTTGTCAGTTCACATGGATAGAGCTCTTAAAATTGTCATCTTTTTAGAATACTTTCCTGATAATAAAAATTATTTGCTTTATTCCTGAGAAATTCTATACTTAGCAGGACTGTTATGAAAAATACATGTTTCATAACCTGGATGGTAGCTTTGGCTAGAGAACAAGTGTTGTAATAGAGATTGATTACTCCTTCTGATCTTAGCTAATCTCATGTTTGTGTTTGGAACTGTTAAATGAAGGAAACAATACATAATTTCAGCATCATGAGGCTGTTTTTTTTCCCAATGCAGTGAGAAGAAGATAAAATATGACCATTATCTGATTCCAAATGCCTTGCTGGAGCTGGCAATACTGTATCTAGACCAGGATAGAAGAGAAGAAGCAATAAAACTACTGGAAAGAGCAAAGTAAGCAAGTGAAAAGCCTGTACTGATACCTGATGAGTCAGGATGGTATTTTACTGGTTAGCAGGAAGCAGAAACATTTCATTAATATCATGGAAACTCGTTGTTTCCTTTTTTTCAGTGGAAAATTAACTAGTGGAAAATGCACCAGTTTTGGTTTGGACCTTTCCAAAGGCAGGCATGAGCTGATTATTCAGTCTGTGCCTTACCCAGCCATTCTACTGAGAGTAAAAAAATATTTTAAAGATATTATATGAATGGCAAAAACTTCTGTAAGAAATAATCCATGTGTAGCAAAATGCAATTATCTTTGTAGTCTATTTACTTAAAAGATGTAGGAGATTAAATCAAAGCTCTGTGTTATGTCTAAAATAGCATTACTCAAATTCATAGCTAGCAGTGCTTTTTCTTTCCTTGATGAAATGCATTTAAGACAATGCTTGAGGTTGCATTTAATAACTTTGTATTGTTTCACCTGCATCTGAAAGGCAACTTGAAATACCCACTTCTACTGTTTTGTGATTGATTTTTCTAGCAAAGTAGATTTATCAGGAATAGTTGGACCTGATCATGTTCTTTATTATAAAATTAATACACCTTCTCTGCTGAGCCTAAGTTTTTTTGAGGGCCAGAGGGAAGGCAGGGAATCCAAACCAAACAACTGTTGCCCTCTTGGAGCTTCCTGCAGCAGGGTAGGTCACCTTTCTGCTGGGATCCTGAATGAGTCCAGATGTCTGCATCTTTCCAAGTGCAGACAGTCACGCCAGCCACAGGTGTTAGCAGCTACAAAACTGATGTCTGGCACCCAGTTTCAAAAGAGGTCAGAGTGTTTGTGTTGAGCTTTTGAGCAAGTCAGCCCTCTATGCCAGACAGAGCAGTGAATCAGCCTACCAAAGATGATGCCAAAAGCCTGTCAACACAAAAATTAAAATATTGCAAGCCTTACTCTCTTTATGCTTGTGAGCCTGGTTCTCTGGGCTCCTGGAAGATATTAACAGAGCAAAAATTGCATGAGCGAAACGCAATGGAAAGTGTTTCAGTTTGTTTCACATTCCTCAAAGCAGGCCTCTCCTCCTGCCCTCATTTCCTTTGTTCAAATCTCTCTTAAGAAGAGATCTAGAAAGGAATGATTTAGAGCTGCTTGTTCCATCTGGATCATCTGTCACTTGCTGCTCAGCCACAGCACCTTTCCCCCCTTTCCCCTGATGGCTCAGGTCACACGCCCCCCTCCAGGGAAGGTGTTTGGATTAAAGAAGAGCAAACAGACAGCAGCTCCTAAAAAACTGTTATATCCTAGTGTAGGGAAAGCTAATGTTGAGGTCTGCCATGCTCAAAGAACTCGTGGAAACTGTAATGATATGCCCAAAAAAACCAACCCACCACTAAACTCCCCCTTGATTCAGTCATTAAAAAAAAAATTATTGTCCTATTTCCACCTGTAGCTGTTAAACTACATGAAAATGCTTCAGCTTTCAGCTGAAAATGCTGAATGTCTTTACAGCCACCAGAGGGAGAACGTGTTGTCCGTGGTGGGTTTCAGGGCTGCGGAGAGATGTTTGCAGTTGGCAGGAGTGCAGAGGAGGTCTGGGCTGGTGCATGACGCTTGATTTGCTTGACCTAAATCCACACACGGCTGCTGGCTCCAGTGTTAGCTCTGGGAGAAAGACTGGAACCAGATGATAAGCAGTTTTGGCTTGGTCGTGCATGGAAATATTTCTATTTGTGTTACTGCAAGCTACAAGGAAAAATACCAGCCTGCTGATGAGAAATACAGTATCTGCACGACAAAATCTATTTAATTTAAAGACTCCAGAGAGTTTCAGGTCAGCACACAGCACAACTCAGTCACCTCCTTTTCTCATTCAGCCTGCTGGGTGTTGCAGAAATGAAAATACGGTTTAGGATGGGTGTGGAGTTAAAGAGACTGCCCCAGTGGCAGATACTGGGCTTCCATGCTTGAATTCAATTGTGATTTTTAAATTCAAATGCTTTTAAGGTATTCAGACAGTTTAATACTTAATGTTATGTTTCTGTAAAGATGACAAATACCTTCTGAAGAAAATCAGCGTGGTCTTTGGTATCTGGATTCTGCATCAAGAGCTGACATGTTAATTCCTATTAAGTAGGATCTGCATTTTTTTCACGTGGTCCTAAGGCCATTTTTCCATGAAAATACAGATTTCTTTAATGTTCCTGTAGCTCTTTAGAGCATGACAGCTACTGGAGACTATAGACAGATGACAGTGCTGAGTCAGCCAGTAGGTGTTTGTGGGGGAAGTCCTGCCAGTCTTTTCCCAGGCTGGTGAATTCCTCCAGGAAAGCTGATACAGTCTTGTGTGTGCCCATTTTTCTCTTTCCAGCCTTCTAGGGAGGCAATTTATTGGCCTTGTTTCTTACACATCATTGACAACCACAGGATGCAGATGGGGTGTTTGCCTCTTCTGGCTCAGGACAGCTTCACTGTTCTCTATTTTTTGTCTTTTCTTTACTTCCTTGAAATACATCTGCTGAATCAAAATGAGTCCATCTTATTAAAATCAGAATTTTAAAAATATCCTGAAAATTGGTTGTTATGAAAATTTGTCAGTTATACTTCCAGAGGAGAGGGGAAAAAAATTATCTAATTTCTAAATGTAAACTAAGTGGATATTTAATGTGAACTCAATATTTTGATGGAGTGGAACAGATTCAATTACTTATGAAGCTATATTTTACTGGTAATTGCCAGACAGTGGAAGTACAAATAAAGAACAAAGAGCTGCATTGTTTGGCCAGGAACACATGCCTTGTATTTTAGAGTAGGCAACAAAGGAGCTTGTGAAGAAAGGCTTTTTTGCTGTCTGCAGTTGTTTCACTTAAATCAATATCATAGAGATAACTTGAAAACGTTTTTGAAAATCTATATATTCATCAGAGTGGATCTGCTTTTGTTTTAGACAAAACTACAAGAATTACTCCATGGAAACAAGAACACATTTCAGAATTCAAGCTGCCCTGCACCAAGCCAAATCCACCCCAGAAAATGGAATGCACTCTGGAGCCTCGGCAGTGTCGTAACTTTTGCTTCTTTGATGTCCTGTTTGTTGCAAACTCTGGTGCAGAAAATTACTGACACTTCAGAGTTCCTTTTCCTTCTCTTTCAAGTCAAGTGAGAAACCAAATCATTTAACTTTTTGAAGATGATGCATAAAACATTAATCTAGTGTAGTAACATGGCCAAAAAAACTCTCAAGCCGACCATAACCCTGAAAAAAGATTGTTTTTCCAGGAGTGGCTTTTTTTGAATACTTCCATCTGTGTAATTCATTTTTCAATCACGTGTGCCTTTTTTCCTTGTGTTTGCAACGTTCACTAAGCAAGCTGCAACATAGAGAGGAACCACTGAAAAAAAACCAACAAAACTTTGAAGATTCACAGATTTCGTCTCAGTTAGATATAAATGCTTGTTTGAATTCGTGCTGGTAGCAGTTGGGATGGAAGCATCACTTTTTCCAAGTACCTGCTTGGCTGAAATGGTGAGAGAAAATCTTGGTGCACAAGAAACAGAGCAGGGAGGAGCTCTGAATCCTGGGCATTTCCAGTTGTGCATAGAAAGCTTCTCTTTACCAGCTTTAACTAGTCCTACTTTTGCTTCCACAAGAAAATAGCTGGTAAAAATGTGGCCTCTTTTACACAAGTATCTTGACTTTTTCTTTAACTTGGTTTTCATGTCAAGTCTGCTGCTCATGGAAGCTGAACAATTTGCCAAGGATTTGGTGGGGGCAGGGTGATGACTTCTTAGACAAGTTTAAAAATGAGATGTCCTTAGAAACAGTTTTTTCATCAGAATGAACATGTTTGGAAGTTTATATAGTATTTTAAGCACAAGTCCTTGAAGGTCACTTAAGAATTGCTCTGGCTGCACAGCAATACAGAGTTACTGCGACAGTCAATTCCTTCTTTAAAAAGCTGGTCTTAGGTTTGCCTAACTTGAGATGTTGGTGTTTAAAGAGATGGTGTGGCCACAATCCTGTGTTAACAAGCTGGGGTTGGAGCAGCCTGTCTTGGCACAGTGGATCTTCTTGCTCTTTATGCATATTTTGGGGGAATTTCTGTGTAAGGGGCTTGTAGAAGACAGCACAGAGCTCTGCTTTCCAGTGCTGCCTGCCCTAGAGTTGCTGCTTTTCTGCAAAACTGGTGAAGTCAGACATAACACATCTTTGACTTGTATTTACTGTTCCCTGGGCTAGCTCCATGTTTGTATGTCTGTGGTTTTTCTGGGCACACTTCTACCTCCCTTTTGAAAGAGCCTCTCCCCCATGATCCATTCTGATATGTGGAGATGGGAGGTTTTCTGACAGCCCTTTTTCTCCAATGGAGATGTTTGTCAGGAAGATGCATATCTATGTACCTCACAGTGAATATTCTTTCTAAAGTGATTGTTCCCAGCAGAGGAGAAAATTGACATTTTATAGCTCTGCTTTTACCTCCTTGAAGGAAATGACGTGATTTTATAATTGCAAATTAATATGCAAGGAGACAGAACCACCTGTTCCTCAGCACAGAGAACTTGCATTGTCTTAAAAATAGACACACGTTATAGAAGTCTTCCCAAGCTAAAATCATAGACGAAGAATGCATTTTTTTAAAGTCACTTTCTCAGATAAATTCAGTTCAGATAAGTTTCTCAATTCAGATAGAATTCAGTATAAACAGTTATGCTATTTACATATTGCACATCAAAACTGAAGTGTAAAGATTCAGTCATTCTTTATATAGAATAAAAAAGATTCTTTGTTCTATTTCACGCATATAAATGCCTCTTCTTCCAGCTGTGTCCTTTTCAAGTATTTGGGCAGTCTGAGCATCCTTTAAGCAAGCAATGCCATGAAAATTAGCATAAATTGTACTTTGCAGAAAAGTGAACAATCCTTCAGACTGTAAATTCCTCTCTCAAGGCCACTGAAACACTCTCTGAAATTTCACCCACAACAGAGTTTGGCCTGATCACAGATACATTATTGCACAAAGGACATACTGTGCAATATGCAGTCAACTTCCCTGCTTCTTTGCAGTGATGAAAACCCTGAGATTTTCATAATCATCTTTGGTCAAGCACAAAGACCAGTCACATCGTGGACCTGATCTTCAGCTGAGAACTTTGTAGTTGGCCACCATCAAGGGGTCTGTGCTTTCATTCCAACTTTTTTAGCTCCCGAATGACAGGAGATACTCACTGTCCTGATGCAACAACAAGGATGTAGAGTAATATTCTGAATTCACTAAAGGAACAGAACACTTTGCTTGCTAAAGGATTAATGGAAAGTCTGGTGCGTTGTCACTGTGCACATTTTTCATGGAGTTACATTTTGAATTGCCCACCATTACTCTCTGTTCATCATTGTACTTATTTTGATTCTCCTCTGTAGCTAGAGATCAAAAATTGAGTGGTCAGCCTGGGCTGGAAGGTGGGATTGTCTCTCCATTGCTTCTCCTGAAGCTGCTGCATTCTGCCTGAAGCAGCTGCCCTGGAGGGTAAATTGCTTCAACAACCTAGAGTCCCAAGTACTAGGAATTAGGGAAAGCACAACTGGTAGAAGTTCTCAAGCAGCTTCAATGTTCTGTTTATTTACCTACCAGAAAATAGCAGATGCTCTGATGGAATCACAAATCAAGGATTTTCATAATGACCTAAGAGTCAGGAAGTGTGAGTCCTGCTTCAGCTGGGTATAGCCAACACCTCATTTGCAGCAGCAGCACTGCCTTCTGCTTTCAAACAGGGCATTGCCTGACCAGTGCCAGAGAAACCCAGGCTGTGCAGGGCAGGCATCAGCCAACAACTGCTGGTATCAACCCAGTCCTCAGCAGAGCCAGAGCAGTTAACCAAAGGTAAACTACTAACTCTCATAGCAGAAAATAGTTTTCTGCACTTGGTAGGACCTTTATCATAAAACTTAAAGCTGTATTTCTTTTTCTAGTACAACCACTGAGAAGTGGTTTCCTGCCAGTAGCTGAGAAGGGGTAGAAATTCATACTCATTTCCTGGATGCCTGCAGCAGTTGCCACGGTGCCCTGGGTGATATAGCTGTGCCATTAGAGAGTGGCAGTGGTGAGGAGGGCAAAAGCAGTGAAAGGAGCATTACTTCCATCATGAGATCTGAAGTGTGGAATCCTTGTGTCCCTCATGAAACTAAAGGGAGCTGAGAAGACAGCAGCTTCTACTGAGGCTAACGAGGTGTGACTACATCAACACAAAGCTCCTGTAAATAACACCAGATAAGATAACCTGTTGGATGAGGAATGGTGGGCTGAAGCTGAACCTGGTCACAGGTTTTCTTGATGATCTGAGATTTTGTTGAAGTCACACACGATACAACCATTATTACATGGAAACACCCACTTAGGATTGCTCAACTAAACCAGCAGCATAAGAACATGCTTTGATTTATTACTGATACTCAGTTCTATGATGACCAACAATTACCACATTCTGTCATAGATGGTTTGTTCAAAGACTGCCCCACTCTGACAGTGCCTCAGGTTGCTCATAATGCAGTGATTCAGACCTTTCAATGGGAAACTGCCTTAAATAAAATGCAGCAGCATAGAACAGAATCTTATCAAACATCTCCCCCATTTCACACTTGTTTTGACATTAAATACTATATTGAGTGTCTTAGTATTTTTAGTTGATCTGTGGCCTGGGTCCAAATCTGCTACAAAATGATGAGATGATAGGTTGGATTGCCTCTGGCCCAACAGGAGCATCAAGTAATGCTCCTCTGTGTGAAGCAAGGTTTTCCTGGAGGTCAGCCCCAGAATGCAAGAAGCACTCCCAGGAGCTGAAATACCACACTTGCTGCCTCCAGCTCCAGCTGGGTGGTGCATCGTTTTGCCTTCTCAAGCATCAAGGCACAGCAGCAAAGCACGTGTATATGGAATGACCAAAACAAAGCATTCCACAGAGTTCCTCCTCTGGGAGGAAGAGGAGATGATAAAAGAGGTGAGTCATGTTGTTTATTGTTGTACAGGAAAATGGTTAATGATTGGAAACGTCACTGATGAGCAAGACTGGAAAACCTGAACAGACTAGAAATGAACTTGCTTCTTTTCTCATTATGTGCTGCAAATATTTTTTGTGATAGATTATCAGCTAAGCATGTATTGGCAAGTATTTTAATTAACTGATTTGTCATCATAAAATATTTTTCAAGATACTATCTAGGTGTGCTTCAGGTGTTAAAAAAAAAGATTACTACAAATCCCTGTTTCTAAGATTTATGCACAGCAGCACAGCTACCAAATACCTGCATTGCCCTGTGGTAAAATTCTGCGAGGTGTTTGCTCCAAATTGCACAGTATTTCTGTAGGACTAGGCTGTGTTCCATTATTTTCTGGGTATTTTACATCTCAGAACGTACTTCTCTTTTATTTCTGGCTAAAAGCAGCAAAATGTTTATTTAGACTTATGTACCGTGCTCAATTCTACTTGCTTTGTCTCTCCTTGACTGTTTTACAGCAAGGATACAAAACAGAGCAGTCACAGCCGCACCACCCCCTCTTTTTCAGCTGCTTCAATTCCAAAAAGAAAAAGCTATTGAGGAAAAAAAAATGTTTACCTAATGTTAGACAAGTTCTCTAGCAACAGTGTTAGGTCTGTGGCTGAAAAGAACGTAGCAGTGTGGTGAGAAAGAGCAGATAAGCAGAAGCTGCAACATTCTGGATGGTTTTCATCCCTCGCTGTTCCTTTTATCCCACAGCACACAAGGTGTGGAGGTAAGGAAGAACTTCCTTAGCCCTGGAGCTGTAGGGGATGTTTGTCTTCAGTGCTGGAGCCCCAGGGGCTGAGCTTGGTGTTGAGTGTCACAGGTGCATTCTGGGATGAGCTGGTGTTTGGTTTGTGAACGTGGTGCTTTTCCTGATGTTTTGGTACAGGTGCCTAAGGATTGCCTCTGCTGATGCTATCTGAGGATGAAAAATAGGAAGTTTATCTCCCAAAGGTTGGCAGAGCTCAGCAAATCATTCTAGGGAGGTGAAGCAATGTTGTTTAACTCTTAAGATACAATATATGGATCGTGTTCAATGTCATCTTCATTTGGGTACAGTACCCAGCACTGCTGTCATCACTACCAAGGTTACACAGCCTGTGCTGGGCAGCTGCAAGGCTATTTTTAGAAGCAACCAAGAGGGCCAGTTAGAGTTTTGGTATTTGCTTTGGCCTTCGTTCTTCTGGCTTGTGGGTACCTGGGTCAGGTTTCTGTTCCATGATGCCGGGCTCATCTCTGATGCAAATAATTCTGGGTATTCCCAAGGAACAGCAGGAAGCTCAAGTGTACAGGCTTTGCTCCATGTCTTTTGAAAGTATATGATCCTGTGACACACACATGTATGTAAGAGTATATATAGATACACAGAAAAAGTCTATGTGTTTATACACTCGCACACACCAGTAGCAGGCTCTGTAGCCAGAGCTTTTTGAAAAGCTGTCAGAACTGTTTGAATTCAGCACTTAAAAAAAGAAAATAAAAGGGTGAAATACACTAAGCAAAATCTTTGCCACCTTTTCAGATGATGTCTGAGGAAAATGCAGGGAGGTTTATGGCCTTTACTGAGGGGCTGCTGTGGGATCATAAAGGAAACAGTGCTTTGTGTAGCCTTCTGTAAGGAGAAATCCCAAAAGAAATGGGCAATCTAGAAGGAGCCCTTCACTGAGGTAACCTCACCAACAAGCAGCTGTAGGCTGGGGTGTTAAGGGCACCAGTTTTCACTCTGGGACAGCACTTGGGATGGCTCCATCCTGCTCAGAAAACACCATGTTGGAGTGAATCCTCTTTTTCCCCTTGAATTTCTGCCTTGCCTGTCTCCCTCAATCTGCTTACCCAGTGTGAATTCTTGATTAGACAAGCACTCCCACTAGTGTGGCAGAAGGGTAGGGAAAAGATGCTAAAAAGGTGGACATTTGTCTTTCTGTAGCAAGAACCCTGGAAAAGTGCCTGTAGTGAGCAAGAGCAGAGCCTGTTCCATCCAGGAAAAGTGGAGCTGTGGGCACCCAGGGTGCATGGAGTATGTGCAGTGGATTGAACTTAGTGGTGTTGTTGTTGAAATGCCTTATTTAAACTAGAGACAAATATTTTCTAGCTGTTGGTGCTGCAAAGAATAGATTCATGAAATGATTCCTCCTTTTTCCAACTGCGAGGACAGAGGTTTGGGGGCTTATTATTTGTTTGCAGTGTGGTTGGTCCCCTCTTGCTCAGCAAGTAGATGCCTTTTTGCTGCTAGAAACATGCACAGGTGTTTTCACAAGTATTTCTTCCATGTAGATTCCTCTCTGCAGCTTTTACTTGGCTAAGTGCAGAGTGGATAGTGTAATGCATTCAGTAGCCAACAGTTACTCTGCTTAAATAAAAAAGATGCTTTTGCAGAGTATGTTTAGACTGTTCGTTTTATCAAAAGGTATTAACTTTGAGAATTCCAAGCCCCTAACTTTTCTGCAAAGGATGGTTAGCATAAATTATGTTCTTCAAAGTTAAATGCTATATGAAAGGAAAAGTTAATCCTTTAAACTAATTTTTATTCTGGGCATTAAGTTGAGAAGGGTTCTCCTGAAGATACTTTATTCATGTTCTTTATAGGTTAACAACTAGTATGTATGTTTTTAATACAAAGTGGTGTCTGTAAAAACCTGTATTTGTAATCAACTAGCATCCACTTTGTTTCTAAGTCCATTTTAATCCAGGATTTAACTAATGAGAGGCCATGTGTGTTTGGTTTCAGCCATCTTGTTATTTATTTAACTGACAGTCTGAGTCAGAAGGATTTTCATCTTTACCAGGATTGCACAAGGACAGGAAATGTCAAAGTGTTGAAACTGTGGCAACTTAAGTAAGTTCAGGTATTTCATAATCTCTTTGCCTAGAAACATACACTTGTACCACTGCAAGGAGAGGTCTGTCAGCCTTCCAAACACATAATTGCTTTCAGCCCTGGGAAGTTGCAAGACAGTAGGAACTTTTAAAACCTTATGTGGTTAAAGCCCTTCTACAACACTAGCTCCTCAGAAAGAAATTCTGAGCTTTTTTGTTTATATAGAAATGGTGTGATTCCCAGATTTACATAATGAACTGGCAACCAGTCACAAGGATTACCATCCTTTGACATAAGATGATAAGAATGGTAATTCCAGTAGCATGCAAGAATTATTAAGCATAAAGGTCTTGATAAAATTGACTATTCATTATTTGTTGTTGCATCTCTTTTGCCTCAGATTTGTGGGGATTTTTTAAATTCTGTTTTATGAGACAAAATCCATTTCCTACTATAATCTGCAAACATAACCTAACAGTCTCCTTGCTGTGCAAGAACTGTGGATGCTGGCCATGCCCTTGGTCTCCCCACCTGCTCCGTTTCTGGGGCAACTCTTAGGCTGTAAAAGGGAGAGCAGGTTGCTCTGAGCTGTGGTGTCCAGCACCAAGTAGGGGTGTGTGGACTTCCCTGTGCACTGTGTCTTGCAAAGGATTGAGGCTGATGATCCACTCTGCTATTGCTGGGTCTGTGCCAGGGTTGTTCTGCCAGGTAGAGTTCTACAGCACAACCACTGGTGTTGTACTAAACACTTTCTGGTTACTGCTGCTGCACCTACAAGCTTGCTTACTTACAGCAGCTGGAAGAGTAGGGGTTTTTCTTCAAATTTTACCATGGGCCTGTCCAGCCTGAAACATAGAGGCCTGGCATCAGAAAAGCTATGGTTGAGCAGGTCCAGCTGAGTATGAGCCCCTTCCCCTCACTGAACTGCAGCAGACTCTGGTTAGGAAACAGCTGTGCTGTAAATGGACTATCTAATATGTTTGAAGTGTAAGTGATTTATTAGACACCTCTGGGACAGGAGGCAAATACTACTTTCATCTTACAGTGGGTGGAATGAAGACACAGAGCTGGTGTCACAACTGTAGCTAAAATTCAGGTTACATGTTATTCTGTGTTGAATCAGAAATCACCCAGAACAGCATTGCACCTAAAAACTTGAAAAAGCATTTGATTTATTTGTTATATTTACACAGTTGTCTTTAAGCTAAAATCTGAACTTTTTGGAATGTTTCTGTGTAATCAACTCTAGTTTTAGCCCTTCAAACCATTTTGCTATTTAACAAGTATTTTAATAAAAGTAACTTTTTCCCTTAGCCCAGTGAGTAGATCAGTGTTAAAAGTTCAACTATACAAAGTGCCTAGAAAAGCATTCAGCTCAGTAATTGGTCACTTGATCTTTGTTTGAAATCTCTCTTCATCAAGTTGTGTAATAAATAAAGACTAACACCAACATGACAATGCTCTTTTTTCAAACTGTTCATTTGCCAGTTTTAACAAGATAAAAGAAATTAATACTTAATGTGGACACTGTTTTGCCAAAAAAAAAAACAAACCAAAAAAACAACAACCCAACCAAACAACCCACCCAAAAAACAATACCCCAAAACAGACAAAAAGAAGGAACACACATGGAATGATGAAAAGGAACAATGATATTGCACAACTTCAGGTCTCTCTTCCTAGATTTTGATCCATGTAAATAGGTATGTAGGAATTGAGAAAAAAAAATGGTGCCCAGATACATGTGTAGCAATTTGAGTGTATCTAGAGCAGCACACTGCTCCCAAGTACTTCTGACTGCTACTTGGGAGTTCTTCTCTAAAAGAGTAGGCTGCTGTCAACTGCAGGAATAATAAATGTATCAACATGGCCATTCTACATTTGGCTGACCAACCCTTCAAAAAAAAAAATTATCCATACCATGCACCATTCTTCTGTGCTGTAAATACACTATGTCTTCAAAGTACTTGAGTCTTTAAAGAACTAGGATCAAGTACTGAAACTACATATGAAAAGCAATCAAGAATGTTCCCTGATTTGGTGTGCTTGACTTGAGATTGCATCTCCTTTTGCAAGATGTATCAGCGTTGTGTTGAGTGTATAAAAGTCACAGTTACAGGACACTGAGGAAAGAAAGAGAAAAAAGCAAAACTGCTCAGTGGATAAAAGGTCTTAACAGCTACAATCTTGGCTAGACCACATCTTAAGAAGCACATCCTGTTTGCTACAGAAATGAGCTAATTGTGTCCTCCTGGCTATAGCACTACTGGTTTCCCCCTCAGCTGCTTGTAGGACAGTCTGTGTTCATAGCAACTCTGCATTTACATGCAGAACAAAAGGTAATTTTTTCTCATCTCTGATTTCATATCTGCTTGGTGGGCTGATGTCTCAGCCAGCAGGGCTTAACAGATACATTTCATACAGGAGACTGAGATACAGTATGTTTATTCTTAACTTCTGATAACCTAAGAACTACAAGAAGAAGAGATGCAGTATCCATTTGCTATGAACCAAGACAACCATTTTTAGGGAGAAAAAAGTAGAATAAGTGATTAATGATAACACTACATTAGTTCCAAATTTATTTCTTTTTTTTTCAGTCATGGTAGCTTAACTACTGATCAAGTTAAAGGTGACATCTTAAACTTTAAGGGCTATTGTTTCATCCAAACTGAAGCAAGTTATAAAAAGCCATGAAACCATAGTTTCAGGACTTGTTTTGTAGCTTCATAGTCTGTATCAAGTGTAGAAAAGGGATAATGCATCTCAGTTTGCTTACAGGCTAGGAGATCACTTTGAAGTCTGCATATTCCTAACTGCAAACAAAATATAGCACTTTTAACAGGTTATAAATAAACTGGTTTCAAGCATAGAGCCAGCCCAACAATAACAATACACTATTAAAAAGACCTAAGGCAATGAATTCCATCTCCAATGGAAAAAAAAAAAAAAAGAAGAAAATAAAAATAAAAATAACTGTGCAAACAAGCTTAAAACTATTTCTTTTGTGCCAGTGTTATAAAATGTAGATTTCAATAAAGCCTTGACCCAAATGCCAGGACTTGTGAAAAGAATCAGAACAAAACTGGTTACTTTATTTAGGAAAAAAATACTCTTACCTTGCTGCTAATAAAATTGGATACACGCAGTTTAAACATTTACAGTTGCTGTAACACTTTACACAATTCCTATATAAGGGTGTAAGAACAAACATTAAAAGACAATGGTGGGTCAAGGCTTTACATTAAAAATAACAACCTACTTTTCTATAGTCTCTAAAATACTATGTTTTTTCCAATATTTGCAGCCATTCAGGAATATTTTTTTTATTTATTAGGAAACATATACTTTGTGCATGATCTTAATTCCTAATTCCTGGCTCTTTGGGCTGAATGACAAAAGGATCAAACCCATTAAAGTGGATGGTCTCCTTGAAGGTATGGTGGAGAAACCCTGGCTCAGTTAGTCTCATATGATGAAAGCAGTGCTGCATCCACTGGCTCCATGCAGGATGGACAGGTAAAGGATCTCATCAACCAGTCATCTATACAGTCCAGGTGGTAAATGTGCATGCACGGCAGAAATCGGATAGGGTCCCCATAAACAAAGTCCATCATACAAATGACACATCTGGGGGGAAAAAAAGACATCAGAGAAATATTGAAGCTGCTGGTAACACGCTGGGAAGTAAAAGTAGTGTGATATCTACTTCTGGGTGTGCTTGAGTCAAACTTTTAGTAGCCATAGCTACTGTGAGGAGTTCTCAACTCTGTCAGTGCTGGCTCCACCGAGCACTAGATGTTTTTGGTGTTTCCATTGTAGAATGGTTACCATGCCAGCAAGGGCAGGGAAGCCTTCAGTAGGCATGGTGGGGACAGCTCAGCAGAGTGCATAAATGAGAAAAGGTAAAAGAGACCCCTAAAAGTGAGGAAGTAATGTGAAGTTATTTCCCCAAGAAGAGAGGAAAAACCATCTAAGGGCATGAATTATATGGGTCAGGGAAGTTAAGTTTCACCTGCAACTAGAAGAGCCTTCTGCATGGGTGGGTTTTTTTTCAGCAAGCTACATTAACTTGCAGTCCCTGAAGAAAAGGTGAAAGCAAGAGGACGAGATGAGGTTTCCCAGGGCAGTACCATTAACCAAGGCCACAGCCATGTTGGTTCTGTTGGATGTTTGTAACTTACTCTCTGATCTTCTTCTCTGAGCCGTCTCTTCCAGGGTCATAGACTCCTTTAGGTAGATGCTGAATAAGGCCTATCCTCTGGGCTATTCTGATCTGCTCCTCTTCTGTCAGCTGCGTGGCTAGCCTGGTCTGGCTAGGGGTGGGGTGATACACAGGAACAGGGACCTGCTCCTAAAATTAAAATATTTCTGTTAAAAAAACCTTTCCTAGCCTTTAGTAGCACAGCACAGGCAATGTCTCTTGCTCTCCCTCTCAGTCCTACAAATGTCTGTATCATCTCCCATGCCTACTTTGCAGTTTTGGGGCTATAATCATACTGAGAATGGGACAAAGAATTGAGGCCAGTGTCTTAAGCAAGGAGCTGCTTGTGGTTGTTCTCTGCAAAAGCTTTTTATCTCCAGGAATCATTCATACATGAAATACACACACAAACTCCACAGGGCAGCAGGTAAATAAACCTCACAGGCACCTGGTTAACTGCTGAGATGCTGAATTGAACAAGGTGATGGCTGAGGACGAGCCACCAGTATTTGCAACAAAAAGTAGAGTATTGGGAGTTTTTTTATATTTAGGAAAGATTATGTGCAAAGATGAGGACAATGCCTGTTTAGAGAGGAAGGTTTTATTTGGTCTATAATAACAAGCTCTAATCCAGAACTGTAGATTTTATTCCTCTGCATTTAAAAAGGTGTCACCTGGACAATAAAAATAATAGTTGAAGTTATCCAATTTTTACATTTGTTCTCACACATTAGTATGATTTTACAAGTTCTCTCAATCTGGACCTCAACTGCTGTTTAAAGCACATATTTCCCAAACAAAAAACAGGCAACATGCAGGTATTAATTACACAGTCCTTCCTCTGCTACATTCTCAAAGCTTCTTTTGAATGTTACTGAACTTCAGATAATTTTCCTAGCATTTATATTGACACAGTATTCATTTTACTTGCTTTTTAAAGCAATTTTTTTTTTTAATGTAAATACCAATTTTGAACAGGATATACTATTAGGACAGTAGTGGCCAGTAGCCATCCTTCTACTGTTAACAGGGAGGCAATTTCTTGCAACTGGCCTGTTCTAATGCTACTTTTTAAATGGGGGGGGGAATCAACTTCTGGCTGTGTTCTGAAAATAAACCTGGTGCATCAGACACACAACAGCATCGATTCATCAGTTTGAAAAATGCAGAAGTTGGTGTTTCAGAGGACACTGCTGCAGGACGAGGGGACTGCAGGAGGTGCAGCTGCAGGGCTGAAGCGCTGATGCAGCACATCCCCTCCCTCCCACAGCCTCACACCTGCTCAGGAAGATGTGGGCTAGCAACCACCTTTGGAGCACAGACCACTGTGGGCATCTCCAGGGATTTCCTGCAGCAGGAACCCAGCTGCCTTCCCCTCTCTGTTCCCTCTGCCCGCTCCGGCGATGGCCTAGTGCCATGTTTGGCACTGGACAAAGCACCGATGTAGAGGTTAACACGTGTAATGCTGCACCTCTAAACCCTGATAATGCAATTCCTCTTTGGCTGCTAGGACTCGTGGCAAGCAGGAAGTCAGGCAAGACTCCTGGAAGGCTGGGAAAGAACAGCCCCAGGCACACAGCCCCTTGCCAGCCAGTGTTGGGGGAGCCCAGCAGCAGAAGTCCTTGCTTATGAGAAATACCAAAATTGCAAGTCTGCCTGACAGTTCTTCTTTTAACACAGTGCCTACCACTTGCAATTCAGCTGTGGGGTAAAATTCAAAGTCTTTATTTAGCTACACCAGGATTGCCCCCTCTGATTTCCTAGCAGAACTCAGAGGAATTACAAGGTTAAGAAGACAAAATGCCAGTTGTTCTGTAAGTCTGATTAATTTCCTCACTACTCTAAACTGTATTTCACAGAATCACAAAGTTCTTCTATGGTTTAAATTACCTGAAGTATACATAGGAAAAGCATCAGCTGAAGCCAGAGATGACCTGTCAGATATTAACACTTTGCATTTGGAGAATCCCATCTTGGAAAACAAACAGCTGCATGCACAGCACAGGCTGGTGCTAATAAAAGCCCAAGGGGTGGCTACTGTATTTAATGAAATCTTCCTTGGCAAAACCACAACTGCAAGTGATCATGCAGAAATACAAGGAAAGGCAAAAACAGGAGGAGAAAAAGAGATCCAAGAAACTCTCAAAGTATCTGAAAGTAACTGTGGCAACTGACAGTGAATGTCTGGCAGAAGAGCAGCAAACTGATCCATCTCCTCAGCAGAAATACAGCAAAAGAAACTACAGTTAAATAGAATCTGTTGAGCGTTAAAACTATCCCATTTGGGCAACTCTGAAATGAGAAATCAGTCACACTATCCAACCAATGACTGCTTTACCTAAATTCTGGACAGTAAATTAGCAACTTTTAAGCCTGTAACAAGCCAAACAAGAACCAAACCTTGTTAAGAGTTTTCTAGAGACATCTGCTGTGAGCCACCACTGAGAGGCAGGTTGCCTGGAGAGCCCAGGTTTGCATTATTGCTCTGTGCTTCTTCCCCATGGAGACCTGAAGAACCGGGACCTGCTGGACCCCCAGGCCCCTTCCCCTGCCAAACACACACATGCTCTCCCAACCACACTGTATGGAAAAACTCCTCCATGTCTCAGGTTCCCTCCCAGCAGAGCCTGTGCTACATGTCTGACATGACCCATTAAGGCAGGAATTTATAGTTGCCAGCTGTGGGCTTCTACAATTTCACATACTAGACAAGAAGCTCTTGTCAGATAAGGAACTCCGGGTGAAAATGGTGTTGACTTTCACTACATCGTCTTTATGCTTGTGAATATTAAACACTGGGGTTGGTGTGGCTGCTGAGCTGTTGCAAAAAAGCTGCATGAATTGTACTCCTGTAAACAAAACTGGGTGACCACTCAATACCCAGGACCCAGTGAACTTCCTTAACATGCTGTCAGGTGGCACTTCAGTCTCACCTCCCAGTTACTATTTAAAAGCCTGGCCAAACACAGCTAGCAGCCCACTGGATACAAACATACCAGTAAACTGGAAGAACACAGCTGCACACATCAGAGAGTCAAACTAAAAGGAATACCAATAATGATCTCCCAAACCAGACCTCTCCCCGCAACAGATAAAAAGGTGTGATTATACCTGTATGATACTGAAAATTTACACTGTTTATTCATGAGAATATGAGAGTCCAGACTTGTGACTTGGGTTTGCTGAAGTGACATTTGGTATCCTGAGAGGGGTCAGAGATGGAGCAGACTGCATGAAGTGCCCCCTCAACTACACCCTGACCACCATCCACTTGTCAAGCTCAGCTCCTTCAGCCCCACAGGCACCCACCCAGGTTGGCCCCACACCAGAGGCTGCATCCTCTGGCTTCACTACCACATCTCTGAAGCATTTTGGGAAGTTAAGCTCATCCAACCATCATTTCAAGCTGCCTGGAAAGACAGAGCAAGGTCCTGCCTGTGCAGGTTGATCTTTCACCGTTTGTAATGGCTGAATTTTATTGACCCACATGAAGGCCAGGTCCTGTTCGCTCCAGCATGGATATTCAAGGGTAACAACATGAGGATTCGAGACTTCCGTCCACTTCTATCTGTAGCTAGAGCCCCCCTGACCCATATAGATAGAAAAATACTGTATTCCTCAAGTAATTATAATTTTAGTCCACAGATAAGCACAAATTTTATTGCTCATGTCTCACTTTTCCATTATCTACTATGGAAAATGTTCTGGCAGACCAAACTGCAAAATACTGAACTACTGGCCAACATCTGAATTATTTATCATTTGATAAAGGTGTCAGGCATTTCAAACTACAATGAAATTTCATGTTAAATCTATTCCTCCATGTAAAAAAAAAACAACACCAACTTTAAAAGGCCAAAACAAACCATAAAAACTATATACTCATGTCAGGCAATGAAATAATCACTTTCTGGCACTTAATAGGCTTTAATAAATTATTTTTTCCCCCACATGAGTTTAGTAATGATGAACCATCTCAGATGGCCACAGTCCTGGAGATACATAACTTTTTTTTTTTTTTTTTTTTTTTTTTTTTTTTTTTTTTTCTTAAAAAGTAGATGGAATCAGCATAAGTTTCCTTGGCTTTCTGTGCACAGAAATCATTCCTTCCTGATGTTTATTCAGCCCTTAAGCAACAGCATTAATTTAGACTTGAGGACTGCAGTGGGGTTTGTGTCTCCGTATCACTCTGGCTCCTCCTCCTTTGGGAGGGGGAATAATCAGAGGGCATCTGGAGGTCTGCATTTTTCACTTAAAAGAAAAATAAATGTTTTTGTACTTAAAAGGCCCAAACACTTTCTGTGTGCAGATTCCCAAGCACATTTTGGGTTCTTGCCTAGAAAAAGGAGGTCTCTCATCAATGCAACTTACCTTTGTTACTTATGGTGCTGTAAATCTGCTTTCCTCTTGTTTTACAGCATTTTCATCATGTTTTTGCAAGTGCAATGAATTTGTAATACTCTGAAAACAGGTCAGTGGTAGATCAGAAACTCTCAATCCCTGGATAAAGATTATTTTAAGAACCCTTTACGCCACATTTCAGCAGTGCCTTGTGGGGGCTTTTGTTTGTTTGCTGTTTTTAGGAAATGCACCAACATGCACAAATTATCCTTTCTAGAAGGTCAAAGGTGAGATGAATAATTCATAACATCTAATAGTTCCAGAGGTCCAAGCCCCCAGATGCTGGCTGCAGGCACCTGCTTTCCACTACTGGCCGCTTTGCTCAGTTTCCATCTCTACATTTTCTTTCTCATCTGATTTAATGCTCTCAGTATGTCTCACCCTGGGATATTTATTTTCATTTTTATGCCACATCACCAGCCTAGCTGTTAATTCAGCTCGACAAAGATTTTTCTAGCTCTGTATGCCCTCAGTCTTTTTTACAATTTTTTTAAATACCAGGAGCTCCGGCGCTTGTGCTTCTTGCAGTTGCCACCTCATTAATTAATTTAATGCAAATATAGCAGTTCCATTTGAATTTCCCTAGCCATTCCCACAGCTCTTTTTTGAAATCCCTTCAAGATGCAAATGTCTCTTTTTGCAACATGCTGTCTGAAAGCAGCTGCACTGGTTCCCACACAGCTGCAGCAGGGCCACATATGCCTGGCCTTTCTGCAGCTCCAACAGATCTTTCAAGCCTTGCTGCCTCCTGGCTTTCTCACCTCTAAGGTGAGATGCTTAGCAGGAAGGCTAATTAACTCATGTAGACACGAACAACTCCAGTTTATAGATGGGAAGTCAAGATGCGAGACCAAAAAACTGGTGCTTTTTGCTTTCTTTGCAAAATCCCTGCTGAGTTTTATGAAGTTTTCTCTCCTCGCTACTTTATTACTCATAAGGAACTTGCTGGAATAATGGTCCAGGGGCCTTTTCTGAGAATGCCATTCTGACCTGGGTGAAAAGACTCAAACTCCATCCATATATATGAATACACATTCTGAAATATCCTCCCCCAAGACACATTACTGTAAAACCACTCACCATTATAATGTGCATTATACGACAATTCCAGCTTACTTTAATAATCCTTAGAATATTATGAGCAGCCTGCCAACTATAAAAACCTTTTTCTGCCATGCAGAAGAGAACAGTTCATTTATAAACCTGAACACCAGCTGCTATAAAACATCACGTAATGAAATCGTTACCCAATCTTTAATGTTCCTGCTTCCAGGTAGCAGTCAGTATAAATAACTGCTGAACACTTACTCTAAAAAAAAAATAATAAATTTTTTTAAAAAGTCCTTTTGAAAGAAAAATCCCCTCCTCTCTTCTCTCCCACTTAAGAGGAGACACCTGGGACAGACAACCAGATCAGAAAGGAGCCCTTCTGGCACAAGGTGGAATCTAAAGCAGAGGTTGTCTAGCAGACCCCATTCACTTAATAGTAATAGACTCAGAAAAGAGATTAAACATTAAATTAACAGTGTATGAATCAAAACTGTAACTGATCCTTTACCAAATTTTCAAGAATGCCAAAGACTGATTCCCTTTGTTTATGTGAAAAGATACAAGTAGTTCTCTTCCAACAAATAATAATATATTTCACAACAGATTCACTGTACTGGTCTAACTACACCTTACAATACAGGTCCAGGTCCTTGCATTTCTCGGGATTCCCACATTCCTCCCTAAGACAACTAATCACACAAGTTCAAATTTTGAATGTATGTTTTATTCATCTGGAACTTTAAGACTCATAAATCTGTACTTAATTTTTAAGATTTATTAATGGATTGTTCTGCTACTGCTTGCTGGAGACAGCTACTTTAACTGGAGGGAGCTACTTTAACTGTTAATCACCATTTTAAACAAAACCACTTTACCTTTACTTT